AAAAATTTTTAATTCAAATTTTTGTTGAAAACACTAAAAAAAATTGAATTTTGGAGAAATTACAAATAATTGCAGAAATTCAGTTATTTTTAAAAGTAACGGGTAGTTTCATGCAATTTAAACTAATTTGGATTTTTCTGATGAATCTGATTTTAAAAGCAAAAAGACGGTCACTAATTTAAAAAAGTTAAATTTTTAACCTATTTATATTTAGAGTGTACATTTTACATTAAATACTGTATAATGTAATATATTTATATATTATATTCTCTTGACGTCAGTATATATATATATCTTAGAACAAGAGGCACGTCCGTATAAAACGAAATTCCCCAGAGACACCTTCTCAATCCAAGGCAACTTCACCCAAACTACTGAAAAGCTTCTTCTAAACACGTCAATTTGAATCGATAGCAATTTTTCTAATTGCCTATTACAACTTCATTTTCTGTATATTTATAATCAATTTTCTTTTCCATTTTGATTTTTAGTTACCAATTTTTTGTTGATTTTTGAATATAATATAATATAATATAATATAATATAATATAATATAATATAATATAATATAATATAATATAATATAATATAATATAATATAATATAATATAATATAATATAATATAATATAATATAATATAATATAATATAATATAATATAATATAATATAATATAATATAATATAATATAATATAATATAATATAATATAATATAATATAATATATACTTTTTATAAGCCCTTACCTACCCTTAGGCTCGAGGCCTAAAAATAAACACCTTTACCTAATTATTGCACTGAATTAGCGATTTAATGCCTCGAAGAATATTCGTCGTTTCGTAAACATTTTTCACAAAATTTTCTATTCGCACGATATGTTCCAGTGACATTATTCATATTAAACCCGACCCACTTAACCGGATACAGTTTTCTAATTTATAAAATCAATTCGCGCCATGATAAAAATACTCAAAATTATATGCATTTTCTTTTATTTATTCATATTTTCATTTACTATCCCTCGTTTACAATTCATTGCTCTTTATATTTACCCTTAATTTCTTTATTTTTCAGTAAATTAACAAGAATTTGCTTTTACAATTAATATTTTATATTTAGCAATATAAATATAAAAATAAATAAAAAAAATTTTTTTAAATTATAATTTTAGATTTCAATAAACCTAAATTTGTAAAAGACAAAAATATAAATACTTTTTTTTTAAATTACTTCTCCATCGAGTAATAAAAATTCTAAAGTTATATGTGCAAGAAATATCAAGATAGAAATCAAGAAACAAAAAAATTATATAAAAATAAAAATGAGCCCTACAATATAAAATAATAAAATACATTTTTTCGTATATACAATATATAAAAATAATATTTCTAATGTCATATAATATAAAATTTTCAAATATTACCCCAAACTCGCAGTTTCCTTCATTTTTATTATTCCTCTTTAAATTTATTGTATGCACATATTTTACTTTTGCTCCGCGAATTGTTTACATTTACTGGAAAAATACGTAAAAACGAAAGAAACCGTAAAATGAAATAAATTTCCATAGGAAAATGTCGGATAATAAAGAGAATAAGAAAACTTGGTTAAAAAAGTTTTTCGCCTCTTTTTTTACAATTCTTTTTTTTTGATTCATTTTCTTTTTATATCTATATATAAATGTAAGGAAGAGAGAGAGAGAGAGAGAGAGAGAGAGAAAATCAAAAAAGAAGTTATGCGCAAAAGTTACAGAAGTGAAATTTACTTTTTTTAAAAACAAAGAAGAAAAAATATTTTTTTACCCTCTCTTGTGTGAAAATCACATTCATCTAAATCCCCCCTGCTTATATAGGTTAAAGAAAGAGAGTTTTTTTAAAAGAAAATGAAAATTTAATAAAAGAATTAAATTTAAAGTGCGGTATTACTTTACTTTTAGTATATATAATTATGTATTGCACAAGAGTGAAATCGTCGCACAACTTTTTGAAAAATTCCAATTCAGGGGTAAAGTCGGAAAATCCGCAGTTTTTCCAAGGACAAAAGTAAGAGAGTAAGAAAAAAAGAAACAGAGAGAAAGAGATTGCTTATATTGAGTTTTTCAACGATTTAGAAAAAAAACTTTATCCGTGAATCACACTTTTGTATTATAACCGGAAAGTCGCTTCGAAAAGTCTGTTTCTGACACAGAATTTATACAACACTTGAGTTTTTCTCCTTCAAAAAAAAAAGGAAAATATTGATCTCAAACTTTTTTCAATTTTTAAATTTGTTATTTCCATTTTTCGTAAATTTTTATATTTTATTTACTTTTTGCAATAAAAATATTTATTTATATAATAATAAGATTTATTTAACTATCTTTAACACTTTATAGCTAAAGGTGAAAAAAGAAATTGTTACATTTACTTTTGAAAGTTAAAAGCATTTTTAATTTTAATGTAAAACATTTGCATTTGGTCTTTTCTGAAATCATATTTTTTTTTTAAATTATAATTATTTTATAAATTTAATAATGGAATTTTAAATTAGATGCAAATAAATTTATCTTCCTTTTATTATATTCGAACCAAATAAAAATTTTATTTTTAATTTTTAATTTTAGTATAAGAAATGAATTTTATTTATTAAAAATTATTATTAATTATTATTAATAAATAATAAAATTCATTTTTTTAATAAATAGTAAAATTCACTTTTTAATAAACAATGAAATTAATTTTTTTAATAAATAGTAAAATATAATTTTTAATAAATATTAAAATTTACTTTCTAAAAAATAATAAAATTCATATTCTAATAAAAAATAAAATATATTTTTTAATCAGCAGTAAAAAGATTTATTTTTCTATCAAAATTTTTTCTGTTTCAGTCTTTTTTTTTTAATAACAAAAAGAAACGAAGAAAAAAAATATATATTCTTTTTTACATTCTATTTGTTCACCGCAGGAAATTGTACTTTTTTAGGGTCTATTTTTTAATGTTGGAATATTTTACTTCTTTATATCCTGCTCTTGTGTTTCACTATATATATAGTTTTACGCAGACATTGTGTTTTACACACAATATTTAAATTTTTTTATCTAGTTTTTCTAACGCGTTATTTTAAATTTGACATTTTTCCTTTTCTAACTTTCATGTAGTTTTTAATATTTTTCGAAATTTTCATTTTAGTCACGATATGTAAATGTTTTTAATTTTTTTATATTTCATTCTTGTGTATAAAATATTTTTATTTTTACTTTTTACTTTCAAACGTTGTATTTTAATTCTTTTACTCAAGTTTTCATTTTACTATTACATTTTAGTTTTAATTTCTCTATTTTATTCTTAATTTTCTACTTTAATTTTAATTCTTGTATATTATATTCTTAAAGCTTTTTATTAGCTTTATTTTTTAATTTACTTTGTATTTAAATTTCAAAATTTTTATTTCTAATTTTCTCCTTCACTTTTAATTTTTTAATTATATTTGAAAAGTTTTCTATATACTTTATAGTTTTAATTCTTTAAACTAAAAGTAAAAGTTCCTTATTTTATTTGAAATTTTTATGTTATACAAGTTTAAAGTTTTTTATACTCTATTTTCAAGTTTATACCAAATTTCGACAATTTGGAAGTTTATTTCAAAATTTAGAAAAAACTTCCCTACTTCAAATTTTTGACATTCATTTCAAATTTCCATTTTCATATTCTTATATTCTTCAAAAACTTCAAAAACTTTTACATTTAATTTTGTTAGAATTTCAAGAAAATTTTATATAATTTTTCATTTGTGTGCAATTATTATTCATTAAAATTCAAATTACTTTTTGAAATTATTTTAATTTCATTCACTATAGCACCCTCAGAAGTCGCACATATATTGCAATCTTTTTATTCTCTTTTATTCAAAATTATTTTCTTTACGAAAAATTTTTCACATTTTACAGAACACAATATTAAAAATGCTCACCTCATACTTAGTTATATATGATTTTTTGCATTTTCACACTTCTCCTTTTCATGAAAAAATTTTTCCTCCAATTTAAATTATTCTCTTTACGGATAAAATTTAATTTTCCATATTTTCGATTTTCTCTTCGGTTTCTTTTTTCTTTACTTTCTTCCTCTTTCAAATTTACATATTACTTTTTTTATTTCGACATATTTTCTGTGTATTTACATAATTCAATTTTTAAAACTAAAAAGTGTATTCACATAATTAATATTTTAATTATAATAAATATAATTTAATACACTGAAAAAAAATTTATTTAATTCAAAAAATTTTTTTTCAATGATATTACATTTATTAAAATTAAAGATTAAGATTTTTAAGATTAAATTCAAGTTTATATTATATAACATTATATCAAGTAGATTGTGTTAGATATAATGTTATATTATAAAATTCTATAATTTTATAAGAATATTATTTAAATTTATGAAATCCTACAATTGCAAAATAGTAGAAAAAGATAGAAAAAATATATTCTAAAACATAAAATATAATATTTTGATTAAATATTTTCAAATTGTTTCATCGCAATATCAAATTTCCATTTTTTCAATTTCTTCCTCGAAAAGAAATGTCAAAAAAAGTATCAAAAGTATATAAAAGTAAAAGATGGCTTTGTAAATTTTCGAAAAGTTCACCAATTGTTTTTCCACCAAAGTCGAAGAAAAAGGTGGATGGGAGGAGGGGGGGGGGGGTTGGTTTGCAAAAATGGGTCGTGTCGTGTCGATTTATATCCTCCCGTCACGACGTCGGAAATCCCTCATTTGAGTTGGAAAACTTTCGGGGGGAAAAAGTCACACGGATATATGATAAAAGATAAAAAGAACTTGATGGACGAAAAAAAAAAATTGTCGCGGAGAAAGAGGAAAGAAAAGATGATGAAAAGGGTTGCTGCTTCGCGGGGGGAGTGAAACTAAAAAAGAAAAATGAAAAACCTCCAGGGAATATAGATAAAAAGTATAAGAAAATAAAAACCCCTTCACTCCCATTATATTGCACTCACACTTATCCTTCGATTTTTGTTTCCTCAAATCACAACCGTTTTCATTATATTATAAATAGTATCATAAAACAAAATTTTAATTTAAAAAAAAAAATTTTTTTTTAACCGATTTTTTTTTTAAAACAGCACAAATTTTTTATTTTGCACGGGGGGTAACAGGGGGACAAGTGCCCCAATTGGGGGGTGGGGGACAAAACACGCACACGTGCTAGTACCCCAAGAATGTCACTACACCCATAGAGAAAGAGGACCAGAGAGGCGGCGAGGGTGTTTTAACTGGCGCGCAGTCCTCGCGTATTCTGACTATTACATCCCCTCTCTACCACACCCACGGATTAAAAACCGAAATCCCACCCTTTACTCCTGACGTGAAAACCGCATGCGCCCTGGATGCTGACTCTGGACCACCACCGCCACCCCCACTACCGCCAATACGAATCAACATTCCAAAAAAGAATGAAGAATAAGGAGAAAGAATATTCTCCGTTTTCGTTTACTGAAGAGTGGATAAGGGGGTAAGGGGGGGGGGGGGTGGGGCTCACACTCACACTTGTCACTTCAAAAAACCTAGATATTAAATGCAGAGGAGGATGATTGTCAATTTTCACCGAGGGGCTAATGATAAAGTCAGATTTTCTCCTTTTTTTCTCCCGCAAAGAAATCATACATTTTTATTCTCAACGTCAATTGAGATAAAAAATGTCAGGTGAGGAAACAATGTGTATATATATATTATAATATTAATATAAATATTATAAAGTATAAATATAATATTAATATAAATATTATAAAGTATAAATGTTACAATATTAATGTAAAAATTATAAAGTATATAATATTTTATAAAAATTAAAATATTTACAAAAAAGAGAAATATTAATTAGGAAGAAAGTTGGAATGATATGGAAAGGAAAATATACTTTTTAAAATTGCGCGCCAAAAGTGGCGCTGCTGTGGCTTATACTAAAAAAGAGCTAAAGAAAGGCTTACAACAATCGCTGAGGCCCTATTGAGTCCTACTAATTTTAAATAATTCCAATTTTCTACAATTATCAGAATATTTATTATGATTTCCATCAAAATTTATTATTTATAATAAAAAGTTTTTTAAAACTCAAGTATATTCACGAAATCTTATTTGTCATAATAGACATTTGACATAAATTTCATATGACATAAAATTTATTACTTATAAATAACATTTAATATGAAATTTATTTGTCAAAAAGTTCATTAGACATCAAATTAATATGACGTAAATGTCACTTGAAGTGAAATTCATTTGACATAAATTTCATTTGCCATAAAACTCATTTACACTAATTCCCATTTGACGAAGATGTCACTTAACATAAATTTCATTTAACATAAAAATCACTTGACCAACATAAAGTGTATTTAACATAAACTTCATTCGTCATAAAATTCATTTGACATAAATTTTATTTGACTTTGATTCCATTTGACATAATATTTATTTGACATAAATGTCATTAAACATAATTCTCATTTTTGACATAAAATTCTCTATTACATAAATTTCATTTGGTATTTATATTACTTGACATAAATTTCATTTGACATAAAAAATATTGGCACGAATTTTAAAAGTAGCCAATCAGATATTATCAAGAAAATTGTGATTGAATAATTTTAAAATTCAAACCTATATTTTTATGCCAAATGAAATCTGTGTCAAGTAACATTTATATCAAATGAAAATTAAAATGACTTTTACGTGAAATGAAATTTATGTCAAATGTGTGTTATACAAAATTAAATGGGACGCATGAATATTCCACAACTGACAAGCAACCAAACAGTCATTTAACAGAAAAATATTTAACATAATTAACATGTAACAAAATTGATATGAAACAGAATTGACATGGAACAAAATAAAGATTCAACATAATTGACGTTTAACAGAAATGACATGTAACAGAATTGTCATGTAACATAATTGACATCTAACATAATTGCAATGCAACAGAATTGATATTTAACACAATTTCTATGCAACATATTGACATTTAACATAATTGTCATGCAACAGAATTGACATTTAACACAATTGTAATGCAACTGAATTGACATTTAACACAATTGTCATGCAACAGAATTAACATTTAACACAATTGTCATGCAACAGAATTAACATTTAACATAATTGTCATAAATTGTAATGAATTAATAATTTTAGAATTCGCGCTAAATAAATTATGTTAAATGCGTCAATTCTGTTACATGTCAATTTTGTTGCATGACAATTGTGTTAAATGTCAATTCTGTTGCATGTCAATCATATTAAATGCAAATTCTGTTGCATGACATTTATGTTAAATGTCAATTCTGTTACATGATAATTGTGATAAATGTCAATTCTGTTGCATGACAATTATGTTAAATGTCAATTCTGTTACATGCCAATTCTGTTGTATCTTAATTCTGTTACATATGTCAATTCTGTTGATTGTCAATTTTATTGCATATCAATTTTGTTGCATGTCAATTATGTTAAATGTCAATTATGTTAAATATTTTCCTGTTAGATGACTTTTTGGTTGTTTGTCAGTTGTGGAATATTTATGCGTCCCAATTAAATTTATGTCAAATGAACTTTACGTCAAGTGACATTTAGGTCAAATAAATTTTATGCCAAATGAATTTTTTGTCAAATGAAATTTATGTTATATAAAACTTACGTCAACTTAATTTCATGTCTAATAAAATTTTTTGAAGTCATTTTCATATTAAGGTGTTAGGCCAACCTGACCGAATGAAATAATAATAAGACATTCAGGAAGAAATATTTTTTTAGAAAAACTATAAGGATTGTAACTTTCAAGTTTTAATTGAATTAAATTACATATATTCAGCTTTAAAAATATATATATCTTCAAAAAAATAAAATATAGTGGAGATACAGGGTTTTCCGTGAGGCACTTGTCGCTTAACATTCCTTATAATTGGTGGACATGATGGGGTCCAAGTTTTAATTTTAAAATTCCCATTATATACGTAAAGTATATTATTATAATCATCATTGAAGACACTTGCAGCAAAAAATGTTGTAATTTCGACTATTTTAGCATAGCTCGATGTAACTTTTGGTTGTAAATTATTCCTAAAACTTCATACTTTAAAATGAAGCAAAAAAAATCGATGTTTAAAAAATTTCAGGGTGGTCTAACCCCTTAAATAAAACTTATGTCGAGTGTTTTTTATGTCAAATGGAAATTATGTTATAATGTATTTTATGTAACATGAAATTTGTATTAAGGGGACTTTCTGATGCAGAATTAGTAAAAAAACGCACATTTTTAAACTCTTATTGTAAAACAGTGAAATGGAAAAATATCAGAAATAAAGTATTCTAAAAAGAGGAATCATCTTCAAGCGAATGTCCGGAAGGTTCGCTAACCCGTACGAAAGAGGCATGGATTGAATTTTTCCACTATATTCTCAAACAATGTCTACAAGACTACATACATATATATATACATATACACTTGAAATGAAATCGAGACATCCTACCAGAAAGCAAGGACCTTTTGACGACCGGTTATTGAACCCATTATGTCACTGACACTTTTCTTTTAATACAGAAGAATCGAAGAGGAATATTTACAATTGTATCTATACTCCATGTATACAAACACAAGGACTACACAAAAAATACATCTATATATATTTTTTTACATCTGTGTGTACATATAAAAGTACCGTGTATTTGTATAGTATATTAAATCCCCTCAGGAATCATGCGCACTTCATTTCTCAATCTACAAAACACCCTTCAAATCTTTCTCTCGCTGTCATCGCCGAACGACTAACTCTATATACAACTCTTAAATTCCCCAACCCCCCCAAAAAAAACCTCTTTCTTCCATGTCACCCTTCTTGAGAAGTGAACTGTTTCTTTTCAGCCCTCTCGAAAAGTCCGATCCTTCTCTCTCCTCTCTTATATTCTACAGCAGCATTTATATAATTCAAGAATTCACCCTTAATGCACACTTTCTACTTATCTATACGATTGCTATAGGATTACCGCTAGAAAAAACAGGTTTGATAAGATATTTGAAAAATAACGAGGATATATATTATGGTTATTCTCGTATCGAAATGAATTTACAACCATTGAGATAAAATAGTGATAATTGCAAATGCAATTCATTTTACCTAAAGTTCTTGCGGCATATTTTTGAGAAAAATCTCATACTTCGTTTTAATGACTTCTAATATCCGTACAATTCATTTTTGACAATTATTTTCAAAATCTTTTTCAATTTAACTTGAAATTTTTAACTTGACGTGCATCACTAAGCGAGTTTTTCAAATTTTCAGGACAATTTGACATGAATATAAAAGTCGCCAAAAAAAAAAATTTTAAAAAGCTCTTACACTCGATTAAACTTTATAGTATTAATGTAAAGCTCTTTTAAGCGACATTTATAATGCAAGTAGTAGTAACTGACAACTTTGAGAAATCGAAGACGCTTCTTTGAGAATAATGGAGACTTGGAGAACAATCGCAAATCTATTCAATCACCTATTCAAATCTTCCACAGTTTCATTTGAAATTTTCAAACAAATGCGATAAAAGATGCTACTTTATTCAAAAATCACTATTCTTGTAATCAATCAAGTGACATGGAAAATTTTATTTTGAAATTTACTTTAATTTTTTCTTTCTTAAATTATAATTTCATCAACATACTTACATATAGTACTATAAAGATTTTCTCATAATTAAACTTTACTAACCAAAACTTTGAAACTTCATTATTTTATCAATCCAGTTTTTCTAAGGATATCAAATTGTAAATGTAACGAAATAGTCTAAACCATTAATAATAAGTTTCATTACCTTCCTTAATTAATATGAACAATTTTTATATCGTAAATTGTAAGAAAAGTAAAACGTTTAAGTAAACGAAGAAAAATGTGTGCTGTTAATATATATAAAAGAAAAGATTGAAATCGACAAAAGAAAATTAATTAGATAATTAAATTAAAATATTGATATAGTTTATTAAGAGGGTTAGAGAGAAGTGAAAAGAGGGGGGAATGAAAAGAATGAACTAGTGAGAAGGGGATGAAAATGGAGCACGATGATGATGGAGATAAGAATGAAGTGTCGGACGCGAGTACATGCGACCTCGGTTCATTGATTCGGTGGCTTTATAGTGATTGTAAATCCGCTGCATGTCACGCTCCTGACTCCTGGCTCAGCGCAGATGCTATCACTCGTCTTACAGCATCTGTACGAATCGATTTTAGCAAACTTACTCCAGGGCATTTACACCTTGTAACATTACCACTAACATTGTAAAGGAAATTGCTATTTTGTCATGTCCTAAACAACACGCATACTAAACATCTTATAAACTCAAGAGCGAGAAAAAGTATATAGAAGCTAAAAATTAAAATTTTTTAAATGCATTCTTTTGGGAGTGAAGATGAGCCTCTACTGACAAAACCATTAAAGAAAACCATTAAACTTTAAAGCTTTAACCCACACTTTCTAAACTATCATTAAACCGCACTCATGGGTGTTTGAGACCTAAGGGTTTTAAAGTATGTGTGATCTGTAAGCTGGAATTGGATATTATCTTTCAGCAAATTATCTCAAGTAGTTCAGTTCATCCATTTTGAAGATAAATAAGTTTCATGGTCTTAATAATTAAAAATTTCGAATTCGAAAAACACACAGAAAATATATCATTCTTAATTTAAAAACATACCGTCATTTTTAATATAATTATGCGTAAACATTTATCTGTATACTCTTGAAATATAACACTTTCATCAAAATTAGTTTCACTGGGTATAATTTTTTAGATAAGACATTACAATATTATAAATATATATATATATATATATATATTTATAATATTTCAATGTGTTATCTAAAATTAGGGATATTGCACTAAACAATTTATTTGATTCAAATAACCGATTACTTGTCTAAATTATCAAATGAATATTTACTTGAATCAAATAACTAATAGTCAACTACATATTGTATTTGAATCAATATAATTTCAGCATTTGAAGCAAATACAATTTAATTGACTCAAATAAAAATCATTTAATTCAAGTATAAATATTTAATTGATAATATAGCCGCAAGTAAATCGGTTATTTGAATTAAATACATTTTTTTTCAGTGTTAAATGCAAAAAGTTTCAAATTGTAAATTCATTTTTTAAAATTATGTACATTTTTTTATAAATATTAAATAAAAGAATAAATTTTTCAAATGCAAAGCATAAAAACCATTTTGGGGTCGCTGATTACGAATCTAAGTCAGATTTTCAAAATTTTCAAAATTCAAAATGGCGGATCCAATATGGCTGACAATTTTTTCAAAATTTCTCAAATTTGCACAAAATTTGTTACTAAGGGGTTTTCAGGGTCGCTGATTACGAATCTAAAGTCAGATTTTCATAACTTTTTAAATTCAAAATGGCGGACATTATTTCCAAAATTTTGCAAATTTGCATAAAATTTGTTACTCAGGGGTTTTCAGGATCGCTGATTACGAATCTGAAGTCAAATTTTTGAAATTCAAAATGGCAACCCTAAAAAACCCCGAGTAACAATTTTCAAGCGAATAAATGAGCAATTTTGAAAAAAAAATGTCCACCCACTTGAATGTTGAAAACTTTGAAAATCTGACTTTAGATTCGTAATCAGCGACTCCAAAAACCCCTGAGTAAGAAGTTTTAAGCAAATTTGAGAAAAATTAAATTTTGCTGTTTTTTTTAACAATATTCTACCTATTGTTTATAATAATTATAGTAGTACTATGTAATTTCACATTTCTTATATTTAGTAGTTACGTTTGTGATTAAAAAAGCTATATTTAATTATTCGTGAAACAAAAGAAGAGAACACAAATTTTTAGTAAAAAAATTATAAAATTAATTATTGTAATTTTCAATTTTTTCTAAACAGAAAATTCTATATGTTTTGCATAAAATAATAAATAATTTTTTTAAAACTTTATATTGTTAAAAAATATAAAATATCCCTCATGAAACAAAATACTAATATTGTTTATAAATTCAATAATATTGATGTAACATACAAACAACAAATAACATTTACTTTATTAATTAATTTAATTATTAATAATTATTTTTTAATTTAATTTTTTTTAAATATTCAAAAACCTATTTTTCAAATTTAAATAATTCGGTTTTACAATATTTCTGAACAAAATAGCATCTAGCGGTGATAGTATGAATTGCGTACATAAAAGTTTGTTTTCTTCTCACAGGATAACTCATGTGGCTCGAAAAATTTTTAGTTCGTATTTATTCGTGTTACCATTCTTTAAGTTTATAATTAACTAATTTATAATTAATTAATTTATAGTTAACTACCAATCCTAGAGCAATGGCTATTTTTGCAAACAGCGTTTTGCAAACAAATGTAATTAATGATTAAAACAAAGCATTTAAATTTAAATTTTTCGAGCTTTAAATTTTAATATTATAAATAAAAGAAAAGAAAAAAATACATAAAAAATTTAAAAAAATTAATAATTAAGAATTAAAAAAAGACTTTCCAGTTCACGTTTACCTCCACGTGGTGAAAATTTGGTAACATTAAAAATATTTTAAACATTTTAATGGCTAAAGAACGTGGTTAATAAATTTATCTGACCGATGAGTTTCTATTTGAAAATTCGTCCGCCATATTGGATATTCCATTTTTAATTTTGAAAATTGGATATTAGATTCATAATCAGCGACCCCAAAAAACCCCGAGTAACAAGTTTCAAGCGAATTAATGAGTTTTTAGAAAAATTGTCCACCATATTGGATCCGCCATTTTGAATTTTGAAAATTGGACTTCAGATTCGTGATCAGTGATCCCTAAAACCTCCGACTTACAAGTTTCAACCTAATCTAAACACTTTTAACAATTTCGTATTTTCGGGTGAAATTTTGCAAAAAATTTGAACTTCAGACTCAATTTTTGAGCCGCCACTTTAATTTTTAATTTTTCTATAGTCCTATCTTATAGCTTATATATTTTTGTCACGTTATTTCTAAAATTTGGAATTATTTTTCTGCTATTTCGTAGTAGAAAAAATTGAAAATTAAACAAAAATTTGAAAAAATCATGTTAAATACCCATCTCTGCTGCACGGGACACAAGTGAATAAGACCTAAGATTCTAAGAACAACCTTAGGTCTTCTTCACAGGATTCATATGATGCGCAGTTGGCAGCATTGGCTGTCAATTTTCTGTTTTCATTCTCACAGCTGATTATTTACATATTAAAAATTTTCTAAATATTTTTTAAATGTTAAATAATGTCATCGGCACATTTATCAAGTGGCAGATGGAATGTGGGATTAATACAGGAGGAAGCACGAAAACAATTATTGTGCCTTCTTGAAAGATGCGAAGGGACAAAGGTGAGATAACCTCACTTTTGATTTTTCCACAAATATAATATAATACATTTTTCGGAAAATTATTGTATTTCATGTAAATTTACAATAATTTTCCTAAAGAAAAAATGTACCAATAACATGAGTATTTATACCTCATGAGTATTTATTCTTAGTCAGTATACTGACTATAATAAATATATTTGAGGAGCAAGTTTTCAAAAGCTGATAAATCCATTTTTCAAAAAAATTGAGATAAACATATATTTAATATTTTAAGGACCTCACAAATCGACTTGTCACTGTTAAATTTAAAAAAAAATTTATTAACAACGAATTTTCAATTGAAAATTTTTTTGACATAACCAAGATGACTTATAATTTTTATGTTTTTTCTTAGAAAACATTACCAAAACCTATAAATCACTTAATTATCATATGATAATGTTTAATTAAAAACAGAACGTCTTAAATATAAAAACATTGTTATACGAATAAATTAAAACCTCATTTATCCTTTTTTTTCTTGTTATTAGTAAACAGAAACTTAGAGAAAACTCATTTTCTTTTCCAAATATTCGAGTAAAAAAATAATAATTATTTGGTTGCTTTATTTCATTTTCCGACGAATTTTTTTATATCTAACTATTACAAATAGTTTATTTTTAACTATCTCAAGAAAGTGATTTAAGGGGAGACCCCACCTTTATTTTGACCCCTTTAAAATAAAATTATTAAACGAGGTAATATTTTTTTTCTTGCATCATTTTTAACCTGAAAACATATAAGATGGTCAAAAATATTTAATTTTTGAAGAGGTTAGAATTTTTTTCTTTTGACCTATTGCATATTATTGCAAATCCATGCGAGAAGTTGTTTAGAATGGTAAAATATGCATGGAAAAAAAGGTTCGTTAAAAAATATTAAAAACTGTAAGAGAAGATCAATTTTTAATATTCAAATCTTTACCTTTTGCCGAAATTTCAAAAGCTTTAAATCTTTAATTTTTTTCCAAATTGTGTATACTTACGTAATTTGATGCTATTATTCAAAAAACATTGTTAAAATTGACAATTAGCTCATTTTCGTGGTAAAAAACATAAAAACCATGATAGTCCGAAGCTTTTATGGTAACTTTATATATACCGAAATAAATGCAAAAAGCCATGATTTTTATAGTTTTTACCATGAAAATGAGCTAATCATCAATTTTAACTATGTTTTTTCGACTCAGAGCATCAAATTGGAAAAAAAAGGTTCAGGACTTCCGAAATTTCGGCAAAATTTAAAGATTTGAATATTAAAAATCGATCTTCTCTTACAGTTTTTAATATTTTTTAACGAAAATTTTTTTCCATGCATATTTTACCATTCTAAACAACTTCTCGTATGGATTTGCAATAATATGCAATAGGTCAAAAGAAAAAAATTCTTACCTCTTCAAAAATTAAAATTAAATATTTTTGACCATCTTATATGTTTTCAGGTTAAAAATGATGCAAGAAAAAAAATATTACCTCGTTTAATAATTTTATTTTAAAGGGGTCAAAATAAATGTGGGATCTCCCCTTAAATCTTCCATAAAATTACTATAAAAATAATTTTATGGAAGATTTAAATTATTTTTTTAACATAGTTAAGAATATAGTCGAAATCTCCTTTTAAAGAATCTTTATCTAAATGTCTTCATTTGTCTTATTAATAATTTCGTAATTATTTAGGCAATCGTATGGGACAAATCACTCGCTGGACCAATTGGTCTTGTGGCAAAATACAGTTTACTGCAAGAGCACGATGTAATTAAAATGTATCCATTGGGCGGAGGTCCATTGCCTCAAATAAACGTTGCAAATATAATTTTCATCACCAGACCGCAACTCGATTTAATGGATTTAATTGCGGAAATCGTTCACGGGTTTGTTGTAAAATAATTAGTAAAAAAAATAAAAATTAACAATAATTATATTACTATTATTTCTAATTTAAAAATAATTTTTTCAGAGAAGAGGGAAGTAAACCACGAAAGGAATTTCACATTTTCTTCGTGCCACGACAAAGTTTACTGTGTAAACAAAAATTAAAAAATCGTGGCGTTTATGGAAGTTTCACATTAATCGAGGAATTTTCATGCGATTTATTTCCATTTGATAATGATCTTGTTTCAATGGAATTAAATAATGCATTTCGTGAATTTTTTCTTGAAAATGATCCCACATGTCTTTATCAAGTGGCACGTGCAATTCAAAGTTTACAGAAAATTTATGGTAAAATATCAAAAGTCACGGGACGAGGACCAGCGGCAAATAAAGTTTGGGAATTATTGCAACGTTTAAATCGTGAAGAGGAGGACATTAAACAAAATAATTCTCAAACATCAATTATTGAACATTTATTAATATTCGATCGTTCCACCGATTTATTAACGCCTCTAGTCACACAATTAACTTACGAGGGACTCATCGATGAAATATTCGGCATTAGTAACAGTGAGGACGTTTTTTACCGTCAAGTTTTTTTTTTAATTCAATGGAAAATTCTAAACCTTCTTCGTCTTTTAATTTATTTTTAAATTCAATTTTTTCAATTGAATTTAGAAATAAAAGTTTACAAATTCAATTTTTCAATTGAATTCAGAAATAAATTAATTAAAAAATTTGTTATTTAAATTATTGTTTTAAAATAGAAAATTTAAATATTTGTTATTTTAATATTTAAACTTAAATATTTATTATTTTAATATTTAGATTCAAATATTCATTATTTAAATATTTAAATTTAACTGTTTATTATTGAAATATTTAAATTCAACTATTTAAATTATAAACAAAAACTAAAATATTTCTTTTGTTTTTAATTTAAAATATTTACGTTTCATTTAAAATAATTATCTTTATAAATAACTAAAATTAAATCTTCTATAAAATTCGGTATTGAATTTTTAAAAAAATTCGTTTTTCAAATAATTAAAATTCATGTGAGTTTTCAATTTCCATTGAATTTACTTTAAAATTTTATAAATTCTAATTCATAAATTAATTTTATTTCAGCAACTGTTCAATTGCCAGCGGAAAAATTCCACGATTCAGACGAATCGCCAACCGTAATGACTCTTGATAAGAAAGAACAAATTATTTTAAATTCAGGGGAAGAAATTTTTGCTGAAATCAGGTATTCTTTATTTTTAATTATATTTTCAAAAGAACATTTTTTAAACCGGTTCAAAATTTCCTGATTTCGCACTCAATAATTAATTTTAAAAAAATATCGAAAAAGAAATTTCCAAATACCTAATTAGAATTTAAAATAAATATTTTTAATTTTTACGGGACTAAATTATTTTTAATTATATTCAAAACATTTTGACTAAAATTTTTCAAAATACTAATTTTTCTTCATTATTTCTAAATTAAACTATTCACAATAATTTTCGTTCAATAAATATAATATTTATTCTTATTCATTTTTCCACAGGAAATAACATTTTTAAAAATTTTATTGTAAAATCTTTTTGAAATTTAACTATTTCTTCAAATTTATAATATAACGCTTTTAATATTCAATAATTATAAACTAAAATTTTAACTGCAATTCATTTTTAAATCAATTCTTATTAGAAAGTTCTACAAGAATTCAATTATTCAAATACAAAAATAATTAATTAATAGAATAATTAATTATTTCTTAAAATTTAATACTTATAAAGAATTTTATTAAAATTTTTGAAAATAATAAAATTCATTACTTTCAAAGAATTTTAATAAGAATTTTGAAAATAATTACATTTTTCGAGAAATTTATTTAAAATTGTATTAAAAATAATAAAAATCATCTAAAGGATTTTATTATTTATGAAAATAATTTAATTCTTGCAACGAATTTTATTAAATTTTTTTAAAATAATTAAATCTATGAAAAATTTTGTTGTTTGCAAAATTAATTCAATTTTTTTGAAGAATTTTATGAATATTCAAAAGCATAATTTAATTAAAATTGTTCATATTATTTACGAAAATAATTTAATTCTTATAAACAAATATTATCCAAATGTAAAAAAATAATTCATTTATTTTAAACTATTTTATTAAAATATTTTAAATAATTGAATTTTTTTAAGAATTTTATAAAAATTTGAAAAAATAATTCAATTATTTCGAATAATAATTTAATTAATTAAAAGCTACTTATTATTATTACTATATATTATATACTATATATTATTATACTTATTATTATTACTTAATTATTAATTTATAAAATTGTATTAGAAATATTTGATTTCTTTCGAAAAATTTTCTTGATAATTGTATTTCAAATAATTGAATTTTCGCGAAGAATTTTATTAAATATTTTAAAAATAATTGCATTCTTTTGAGAATTTTTATTAAAGTAGTAGATCTAGTAAATTAGTTGAATTTCATTATTTGTGGAAATAATTTAATCCTTGCGAAAAAATTTTCAAAAATTTGTCAAAATAATTGAATTGTTTCAAAAGAATTTTAAATAACAAAAATTTTGAATTGTTTCTAAAAAGAATTTTATTAAAATTTTTGAGATTAATTTTTGCATTTCAATTTCTAGTGTAAATTTTCAAAAAAAAAAAAGAAAAAAAAGTAGCTTTTAGTGTCACAAATTTAAAAAAGTATCCAAATAGTAGCTAATCGTAAAAAAGGTAGTAAACAGTAGGTTTTAGTAGATAAGTGCGAAGCCTGAATTTCTTTCTGTAACTTTTTCTAAATTTCAAATTAAAAATTAAAAACTTAATATTAAAAATTACTAATTGTATGCATTGGAAATGTTTTAGGGATAAAAATTTCAATGGCGTCGGACCAGTTTTGAGTCGAAAAGCAAAAGTAATATCGTCGCAGTTTGACGAGAGACACGGGGACAAAAGTGTTCAGGAAATAAAACAATTTGTCGCGAGATTACCGCACATGTTGGCCACGAAGCAATCGCTAACAAAACGTAATTTAAATTTATTTACATTCGTTTGCAATTTAGTTAAATAGTTTGCATTTTCTTCAAATAGTTTTAAATTTTCTTCAAATACTTTTCCTTCGAAAAATCACAAATAATTCCCAATTAATAATCATTTCAGACACGACAATCGCCGAGATGATTAAAGAAGTAACCGATTCAAGTCAATTTCTCGAATCACTTCAAATAGAACAGGAATTATTAAATTGCATCGACACAGATAAGCCGAATTCATTTATTGAAGATATGATTGCCCAACAGGAACCACTATTAAAAGTTTTACGTTTACTTTGCATTCAGTCGTTGACAAATTCAGGATTAAAGGCAAAGCTTCTCGATTACTATAAGCGGGAGATAATTCAAACCTACGGCTATCAACATCTTCCGACATTGTTGAATTTAGAGAAAGCGGGATTATTGAAAGTTCAACAATCGTCACGACAATATTCGGTTCTCAGGAAGACATTGAAATTAACAGTCGAGGACGAAAGTGAAATTACACCCAAAGATATAAGTTACGTGCATTCAATTTATGCACCATTGAGTATAAGACTTGCTGAACAATTGGTTCAAGGTGGATGGGAAGGAATAACGGATATTTTGGGATTATTGCCGGGACCAACTTGTGGTAGTGGTTCATTAAATTTGAATCCAATTGGCAAGACTGAACGAAGTTAGTTTTTCATTGTTTACTATTCAATTTTTCTTTCTATCGAATAAAAAGGGATAAAAATTTAATGTCTTGTTTAATTTAAAAAAAAAATCAGACAAAAAAAAGAAAAGTTTCTTTTTTCTGTCTGATTTTTTTTTTAAATTAAACAAGACATTAAATTTTTCCTTTAACCCTTTTTTCAGGGAATTCATTAACCAGTGAAAATTCAAATTCGGAACCACCAAAACTTGTACTTGTATTTTTTATTGGTGGCTGTACGTACGCGGAAATTTCAGCGTTACGTTTTCTATCTCAACAGGAAGAGTGTATGTATTTTTCAAATTTTACAGATTTTTAAAAAATTCTTCTATTCTTCTATTTAATGTAGATTCAATATTTTTAAGAAATTTCGTTAAATTCTATTAGCATCATTTTAAATTTATTTAAATTTATTTAAATTAATAAATAAAATAAAATAATCCTTTAAAATTTGTTTTTCTGAATTTAAACTTGATAAAAAAGATTATAAATGATTCTCAAAAAAATTTAATATTTAAATATTTTGATAGAAAATAAACATTTGTTTTTTTTACAGTAAACGTGGAATTTGTCGTCGGGACGACGAAATTAATCAATGGAAATACATTTCTAACGTCTTTAATTGAAGATCTTCAAGTGACCTGAATCTTTTGTTACATATTAGAATTTTAATTGTTATTTTATTTATAGAATTTTAAACAATAAACATTAATTTTTTTTCTTTGTAAAACTCTTGAATTTTGTCATTATTCTTCTCTAAATAATTTTGAAATCATAATTTTTCATTTTTTTAGAGTTTAAGAAAATAATTTAGAACATTTAATAAAAATTCATTAAAAATGTAATAATTATTAAAAATATTGTTATTATTTTAAAATATTATTATTTTTGAAGCATTGAATTAAAAAATTTAATTAATCTTGTATTGAAAATAATTTAATTCGTATAAAGCATTTTATTAATCTTTTAGAAAATAATTGAATTCATTCGAAGAATTTCACTAAAATTTTAAATAATAATTGAGGACTCGGATCGAAGAACCGACGCTTGTAAACGCACAGAACATTGCGAAGCGTCGGTTCTTCGATCCGAGCCCTCAATTGAATCACATTTCGAGAAATTTGAAAATTTTGATTGAAAATAATTGAATTCCTGAGAACAGTTTTGTTATTTTTAAAAATAATTGAATTTCAGGAAAAATTTTATTTATAATTTTTAAAATAATTGAATTTCTGTAATTAATTTTTATTTTTTTTTTAAATAATTGAATTCTTGTCAAGAATATTATATTAAAATTATTGGCAATAATTGAATTCTAGTGAAGAATATTATCAAAATTTTAGAAAATAATTAAATTCTTTCGAAGAATTTAACAAAAATTTAAAAAAACAATTCAATCTTTTCTGAGAAATTTAAAAATTTTATTGAAAAGAATTGAATTTCTGCGAAAACTTTGGTTATTTTTAAAAATAATTGAATTTCCGGAAAAATTTTATAAATATTTTTGAAAATAATTGAATTTCAGATGAGCATTTTGTTATTTATAAAGATAAATGAATTCTTGACAAGAATTTTATTAAACTCTTTGAGAATAATTGAATTTAATAATAAAAAAAATTTTTGAAAATAATTGAATTTTGTAATTAATTTTTTTTTTGAAAATAATTGAATTCTTGTCAAGAAAGTTATATTAAAAGTTACGAAAAAAATTGAATTTTTGTGTGAAGAATGTTATCCAAATTTTAGAAAATAATAAAATTCTTTCGAAGAATTTCACTAAAAATTTTTAAAAAATAATTGAATCTTTTTGAGAAATTTGGAAATTTTTTTTGAAAATAATTGATCTTCAGCGAACAGTTTTGATATTTTTAAAAATAATTGAATTTCTAGAAAAATGTTATTAATATTTATTTGAAAATAGTTGAAATGTTGTAAAGAATTTTTTTAAAACGTTTGAAAATCAAAATATAATAATTAGTTATAAATTTTTTTTTAATTATTATAAATGTGGTTATTATTATTCAATTTACAAAAATAATAGTTAAAAATAAAATATTAAAATTAATTTTAAAAATAAATAAATTAAAATTTTGCTAATAGATATTTATTGAAATAATTAAAAGCTTTTAATTATTAAATAATGTAAAATTATTGTTAATAATTTATATCTAAAAACAATTTTTATGTTTAATAATTAAAAATATTTTATAATTATAATATAAAGCATTTTATTAAATTTTTAGAAAATAATTAAATTCTTTCGAAGAATTTCACTAAAAATTTTAAATAAAAATTGAATCATTTCGAGAAATTTGATTTCTCGAAATAATTTAAATATAAATTAAAATTATTATTATTACTTTAAATAATATACAAAAAATAATTCTCTTTATTATTTTAATTCTCTAAAGAATTAAAAATTTCCCGCGAAGAGTGCTGCCATCTCGACGAGAGTAAAACTTTAAAAATGGCGATTCTCATTCTGTAACTACGTGACGCGTTGTGTGTTGTGTTTTATACAAATTTTTGTAAACTTTCATTTTTTTACTACAATAGTTTAGTAAAAAAAAGAAAATAATTTTTTCAATTTCAATTTGTTAATTGTCGGTTTTTTTCGTAAAGAAAATCGTGGCAAAATGTCAATTGGCGTGCCAATAAAAGTACTTCACGAAGCCGAGGGACACATTGTCACCTGTGAGACAAACACCGGCGAAGTTTATCGTGGTAAATTAATTGAAGCCGAGGACAATATGAATTGTCAAATGCAAAATATCACCGTTACCTATCGTGACGGACGTACGGCACAACTTGAAAATGTTTACATTCGCGGATCAAAAATGCGATTTCTGATACTGCCTGACATGTTAAAGAATGCTCCGATGTTCAAGAGACCTGGTGGAAAGGGCTCGGGAACAGCGGGACGGGGAAAATCGGCTATTTTACGAGCTCAAGGTTAGTGACGAATTTTATTTTCAATAATAATTCTTTTAATTCCATTGTTATCAATGCGCTTTGTAAGAGATTATTTTGAGGTTATGTTCGTATTATTTGCGGCGCGAGAGAATTTCGTTTTAGCGGGTTCTACGATTCACAACGTTTTTTCCGTTTTTTCGATAAATTTTTGTTTTTTTTTTCTTTTTAAATTAAATTAAGTGGAAGTCGTAATTAAACTAAAAAATTTTTAATTGAATTTCAAAACAATTTCTAATAAATTTTGTTTTTTGAATGAAAAAACCTTTTTTGGGAGAAAAAAAATGTCTTTTGGAAGTTGCAATTTTTTGATATCGATAATTTTATAAAAAATTGTTTTTTTTTCTCACAGCGAGAGGAAGAGGTCGGGGTCAAAGTCAAAGAGGCAGGGGAACCGGAACTGCTCCTTGGTTGAATCAACAAAATCAAACTGGAGCTCCACAACCCGGACGGGGAAGAGGATAATAAATTTTTAGCATTAATCAATTATCGAATTTTTTTTTTTAAATCCACCTTAATTTACTGATTTTCTTTTCTCCTTATTTACGAAACTTTTGAAAATGTCGAGAGAATTTTTGTTCATTGTGCGCAAATTAAAAAAATAGTCTCAATTTTTTTTTTCTTTGAAAGTATTATAAATTTCCATTACTTTGTAAAGTATTTAAAAAAAAAAATTTCGTTTTTTTTCTACACTTCACCGGAAGATGAACGAGAAAAAAACTACTTTTTTAAGCCAAAGTAATAAACGTACATTTATAAAAAAAAATTATAATTTACTTATTTATTCGAAAAAAATTTTGTTTAATTTTCCTTTTTTTAAAAAATTGCAAATTGAAAGAATTTCCCAAAAAAAAATTTTTATAACTGAAAATTCTTCGAATTCTTTTTTTTTAGACTAATATTTAGCAAAATTTTACGATTTTTTCACGAAATATACTTTTTTTTTTAAAAATATTATTGCGGGATTCAGACAAAAAAGTTTTAAAATTTTTTTCGATTTTTTCCAACAGTCGAAAAATGTTATAACCTTAAAATTAACTGAAATTAATTTTTTTTTGTTGGTTATATGAATTAATTAATAAGAATGATAAGAATTTATTTCGCAATTAAATTATGTATAAACATTTTTTGGAAAAAATTCTCGTATGGTAATGAAACGAACTTCGTTTCATCGCCGCTAGATGGCCAGGGCATATTTCACGTCAAAAATTTTGCAACAAAATTTTCGACATTTTTGACGAATATTTGGGAAAATATTAATTATCAGGGCAAAATTATTCATAATTAGCTAAAGATGTTGTTAGGAAATGTTAATAATTACCGGATGTCTGTGAAAAAAAAGTTTTGTCAATGGGACGCCGTTCATTTGTCATGGTCATTTACGCAAGCAAATATATTCATATTTCCACAATTTCTCATCGTACTATTAATAAATTTACATTATTCAGGTATAATAAAACTTATTTACTGCAAAACATTTAGAATCAATACTAAGATTTACGAAATATGAAAGGATTTCTTCTCTCTGATGTTCAACGCGTCCTTCCACTTGAGACGACGCCATTTTGTTAATGTAGGCAGAGCGCGGCAGTACCAACCTTAGAGAACAAAAAATCACCGTCAGACCTCCGAAGTCCGACACTTTTGCAGAGCGACCCTTCTCTGTGTCGGGATATTGCGCATGCGCGCGGCAATTTTAAATCTTGATTTAATTATTATATTTAATGAAATAATTATAAATAGCTAAATATCTATTTATTATAATTATAAATATATTTGATAATTTATTTATCATTATTATATTTAATGAAATAAATATCGGAAATAGCTAAATATCTATTTATTATTTATAATTATTTGATAATCAATATGTATTATAAATCGCACCAAAAAAGGGAATTATTGCCTTTAACAAAGAAATGAAATGAATCTTTCGATACATAATTTACCTATTTAATTAAAATTATTTTTTTTCTCTCGATGTTATCACCAAAGAAACACTTAATTCTTGATAGTTGACAAATTTTCCGCTCAAAAGGCGCAGGTGTGAAACGACCGGTGCGTCTGGGTCTCGCGTATAAACACTAAGTTTGTTTGGATTTTAATTATCCTATTTCTGACGATTAAAGTGAAATAATAATTAAATGCCCGTCTCTATTTATTTTATTGTAATTGTGAAAAAATTCTTCTCACCAAAAATAGCCACTATTTCAACTCCAAGGAACATAAAAGTCGAGCGCGCGAATAACCTAACCTAGAAAGGAGAATATTCTCTATAATACTAATAACTCACTTTTGGTGCTTATTTTTTCTTTTTTCTTCTGCAAAAAAAAATTACATGTTTTCCGTGAATATAAAATAAAACATGAATACACCACAGTCAAATAAAAAGAAAGGTCGCAATAAGAATAAAATACCTCCCACACCTGGAAGTGCGGAAGTTGCAATAACACAAGAATCCAGCAAATTTGTTTTGGTAAGTTCGTATTATTTTTGTTTTTACTGTCAACAATAGAATCGTTTTCTTAAAAAAAAAACTCAAAAATTACTGTAATATTTAATTTTTCTTCTGCAAAGTTTAATCTACATTATTAATTGTTGTATTCTGGTAATCTGTTTGTAGTTTGAAGTTAATTGCTGTTTGGTTTTTTGTTTCCTAGCTTTATAATTTTTCTTTTTAAATGTTTTCAATTTTAAAATAATGTACTGAAAATCATTGAATTCTTACAAAGTTTTATTTATTTATTAAAAAATTTAAAAATAATTGAAATCATTTCAAGAATATTATTAACATTTTTTTCAATAATTGAATTCTTTCGAGAAAATTTAATTCAAATTGTATTGAAAATAATTTAATTCTTGGCAAGATTTTTATTAAAGTTCTTTAAAATAATTGAATTGTTTTGAAAATTTTTGTTTAAATAATAATAAATAATAATATAATAATAATAAAATCTTGTTCAATTTTCTTGAAAATAATGGAGTTTTTTAAAATATTTTTTACTGAAAATTTTAAAAGTAATTGAATTTTATGAACATTTTCTTTTAACTCTTTAAAATAATCGTGTTTATTATTAATTGTCATTAATAAATTTTCTATTAAATTATATTAAAATTTTTCATGGCAAATTAAATTTTTTAAAACAATTATATTGAAGTTTTTGTAAATAATTACATTTTTTTTTAAGAATTTCATTAAATTTCGTAAAAATAATGAAATTTATTGAAATAATTTTAATTGAAATTTACAAAGAATTTTATTAAAAACTTTTGAGAACAATTGAATTGTTTAGAAAAGAACCTGTTAGAGAAATTTTATTAAAATTGTATTAAAAATTTTGAAAATAATGATTTTTTTAAAAGAATTTCATGAAAATATTTTTGAAAATAATTGAATTTATATTAAAATTCTTGAAAATAATTGAATTTAAATAATATTTTTAAAAATAATTGTATTCTTTCAAAAAATTTTATTAAAATTGTATTGAAAATAATTGAATTTCTACGAAACATTTTATTATTTATGAAAATAATTGAATTTCTTTGAAGAATTTTATTGTATTTATGTTAATATTTTAATTCTTGCGAAGAATTTTCTTATTTATAAAAATAATTTGAATTCTTGCGGAGAATTTTACAATTTATAAAAATAATTCAATTGCTTCAAAGAATTTTATCTGAATTTATGAAAATAATTGAACTCTTTGAAGAAATTTTATTAAAAATTTTGAAAATAATGATTTTTTTAAAAGAATTTCATTTGATTTGAATTTATATTAAAATTCTTGAAGATAATAAATTGAATTTAAATAATATTTTTAAAAATAATTGTATTCTTTCGAGAAATTTTATTATAATTGTATTGAAAATAATTGAATTGCTCTAAAAAATATTCTTATTTATAAGAATAATGAAATTCTTGCGAAAAATGTTATTAAAATTTTTGAATAATAATAAACATGAATATTTAATATTATTTACTTATTGTGAGAATAACTTATCAATTTTAATTGAATTTTCAAATTTTTCTATTTTTAAATAGTTGAATTTGGGAGACGATGTAAACAAACCATTGCGTTTGAATTTCACCGATAAAATAACAGTCATTTCACAAGAGGAATTTGAGCTTGAGGACAAAAATTTACCGAAAGGTGCTCCAGTTCCTGAGAATCAGGACGATAAGGCAATTCTCAGTAGTTTGCCTGTTGCTGTTGTTAAGGAATTAAGTGGTTATGAAAATCACATTGGCGAAGCTGAACCATTACCAAATAATTATGTCAGATTTATGGAACGTAGCGGAGAGGATCTCGATGGTAATTTAATTCTTTAATTAATCAAAATGCAATCAAGTCTCCAGAAAATGTTTAAAAGTTGTTTTCCTACTAATTTTTTTTTATTTATAATTTTTAAACATTTTTTTTTTATTTTACGTTGGAATAATTATTTTAAATTTACAATTAGCAGCAAGAAAAGTAATTATTTGACAATATTATCATTTCAATATTATTAAATTAATCAAATTTACTTAATTAATTAAAATTCATAACTTAACACTATTGAACATAATTTTGTAATTGAATTTTCTAATTTCATTTGGAAACTTAATAATATTTATCAGAAAATTTATTTACATAATGAAGAAAAATTCAGATTAAATTTTACTAACTCCAAAAGTATATTTAACTAACTTTAAACGAAATTTACTATACGGATATTATAAAATTTACTCTGGAATTAACGATTTTTAATAGCAAAATTTACTAATAAATATCTATTTCTATAATAGTCAAATAATCAATTACTAAAATAAATGTTTCTTTTTGCTTTTGAATTGAATTTAAATAAATGTATTAGATTCAAGTTCATTTAAATCTTTTCTAAGAGCAAAAACTAATGCTTTTTAATTTATAAACCAAGAAAAGTTTTATAATTTAAAAAAAAAATGTTTCTTAATTGTATAAACTGAAAAATATTTCCTAAGTTATGAACTGCAATTATTTCCAGAAACTTGATCAATTTTGTAAAAATCACACTGGACGAGAGTCTAAAATATTTTTAGTTCTAAAAGTTCTGGATCTTCAGTTTGTTTTTTATTTCATTGACTAGTTTTTTTTTGTTAAAGGAAATAGTTAATAAATCCCAGGCAAAAATTTAGTAGTTTTAGGTACGATTAGAGGAGATTACATATTTTCGAAAATTCAAAAACATACAAAAAATAATAACATTAAAATGTTTTAGAATAATTTTTAACATTTTGGAGAATAATAATTATATTCAAAATTTGTAATTAAAATTCTTCAAAAAATTAATTAGTTTTTTTTTTTGTAAATTATAAAAAACTGTTTTTTATAAATTCAATTATTTTCGAAAAATTACATTACAATATTTATAAAAAACTAATTTTTAGAATTGTTTTATTTTTTATTCTATTTTTAGAATTTTTTAAGATTCAATTACCTTCGAACAAATTAAATTAAAATTTTTTTAAATTTACTTTTTTAGACTTTAAAATTTCGAAGAAATCATTTATAATTAAAATTCTTAAAAAATTTGTTTTTTATAGGTATTTTTTAAACTCAATTATTTTTCAAAGATTTAATCAAATCACAATTATTTTTCAAAGATTTTACCAAATTTCAACTATATTTCATAAATTTTATCGAAATTTCAATTATTTTTCAAAGATTTCATCAAATTTCAATTATTTTTCAAAGATTTACCAAATTTCAATTATTTTTTAAAGAATTTTATATATTTTTATATATTTATATTTATTGTATTTTCCCTGCTACAATCATGCAGGGTTCGAGGATCCTTTTTACACTCATTTCTTAACCTAACTTAACCTATTACATCGTCGATATATTTTTATATATTTTTTCGTTTTGAGAGATTAGAATTCGAAAAATGTAAAAAAAAAAATATTTCTGTCTGTCTGTCTGTATGCAAAACTTTGTTCGCGCATTTTTTATTTTTTGCAAAATGAATGCAAAACTATCCTTAGCTAACTTTTTCAGATAAATACCTACAACCCATTTCTACAATAAAATTTAAAAAAAAGACGTATTTTGAAATTTTTTTTCGTTTTTTTAGATCAACTTTTTTCTAAAAAAAATAGTGATTCTTAATTTTTAAGCAAGCTTTTCAGGAAAAGTTATTAAAGTTTTTTATTTAATGACCAGTACGTAAAGTAAGAAATTTTCTACATTAGACAAAAATATTGTTTCAATATTCAGTTTTTAAAATCAACAAAGTTATGCACGAGTTAACAAAAAAATGTTCTTTTGAATTTAATGAATCACTGCTCCTCAAACGGTTAAATATTGATTAATTCTTGCATCAAGTTGGTATTGATATTTTCTGATTCATTAATTAATTTGTATTTTTGGTAATTCTAATTTTAATTTTATCATAAAAATAGAAAAAATTAGGAATTTTAAATCTAATATTTAAAACAACAATAAATTCTTACATCTTCTATACTAATATTTAAAAGTTCAAATATTTTTATACCTATATCGAAATTAAAATATTGATACCTATAATTATCATTTTTATTTTACTTCTCTCCAGTTAATGTTCTATAGTAACATTGGCAACATTAAATAAGTAAAGTATTTTTGAAGAGCCCAAAAATAATGAAGCTAAATGCCATAAAACAGAAGAAAAAATGTTGAATTTTAAGAAATTCGGTTTTTTGAATTTTTGATAATTTTAAATTTTTTACCAAAGGGTGGAGACTATTAAATAAGTAAAGTATTTTTGAAGAGCCCAAAAATAATGAAGCTAAATGCCATAAAACAGAAGAAAAAATGTTGAATTTTAAGAAATGCGGTTTTTTGAATTTTTGATAATTTTTGATAATTTTAGATTTTTTATCAAAGGGTGGAGACTATTAAATAAGTAAAGTATTTTTAAAGAGCCCAAAAATAATGAAGCTTTATGAAGTAAATGAGAAGAAAAAATCTTGAATTTTAAGAAATTCGGTTTTTCGAATTTTTGATAAATTTTGATAATTTTAAATTTTTTACCAAAGGGTTGAGGCTATTAAATAAGTAAAGTGTTTTTGAAAAGCCCAAAAATAATAAAGCCAAATGCCATAAAACAGAAGAAAAAATGTTGAATTTTAAGAAATTCGGTTTTTTGAATTTTTGGTAATTTTTAATAATTTTAAATTTTTTACCAAAGGGTGGAGACTATTAAATAAATAAAGTGTTTTTGAAGAGCCCAAAAATAATGAAGCTAAATGCCATAAAACAGAAGAAAAAATGTTGAATTTTAAGAAATTCGGTTTTTCGAATTTTTGATAATTTTAAATTTTTTATCAAAGGGTGGAGATTATTAAATAAGTAAAGTATTTTTGAAGAGCCCAAAAATAATGAAGCTAAATGCCATAAAACAGAAGAAAAAATGTTGAATTTTAAGAAATTCGGATTTTCGAATATTTCATAATTTTTAATAATTTTTGATTTTTTACGATTTTTTATGATTTGAATTTTAAGAAATTCGGTTTTGCGAATTTTTAATAATTTTTTATTTTTTGTTTAAAAGAAACCCTTTTGTACAAGAGTACTTAATATATATATATGTATGATAATAATAGATCATAAAATAGATATTTAATACTAAGCTTCTTTAAATTAGTAGGTTAGGCTACATTTACAATAATAATTTATCAATAAATAAATAATAAATAAATTAATATAATATATCAATATAATAATTTTAGGAGATAATAATGATGATTGATAATTTTAGGAGAAGTGGAGTATGACTTGGACGAGGAGGATTCCGCTTGGCTATCGATAGTTAACGAACGTCGTCTAGCCTCAGGTCTAACACCACCAATGGAAGCGGATACATTCGAACTTCTCATGGATCGCCTCGAGAAGGAGTCGTACTTTCAGCAGCAGACAAACGGCGGCGGTGGAATAGCCGCCGACGAAGACGCCGTCTGTTGCATTTGCATGGACGGCGAATGTCAAAATAGTAATGCAATACTTTTTTGCGACATGTGTAATCTGGCAGTGCATCAGGATTGCTATGGAGTTCCTTACATTCCCGAGGGTCAATGGCTGTGCCGAAGATGTCTTCAGAGTCCGTCGCGTGCCGTCGATTGTGTTCTCTGTCCAAATAGAGGCGGCGCCTTTAAGCAAACAGATCGTCCCGCAACGTGGGCACACGTTGTCTGCGCCCTCTGGATACCGGAGGTGCGCTTTGCAAATACCGTTTTCCTCGAGCCAATTGACAGTATTGAGAGTATTCCAGCGGCACGATGGCGATTAACGTGCTGCGTGTGTAAACGTCGCGGTGTTGGCGCCTGTATTCAGTGTCACAAGAGCAGTTGCTACGCGGCATTTCACGTGACGTGCGCTCAACAAGCGGGTCTGTGCATGAGAATGCGAACCGTTCAGCCAACAAGTGGCGAGCCAATGTTGGTGCAAAAAACCGCATTCTGCGAGACACATGCACCGCCCGATTATCAACCGTCCACGAGTCCCGCTGACGCGAGGCGGCGCGCCATCGCCAACAAGAAGAGCTCCTCGGCGCCTGTTATTTCAATTCCCACTATTCCGCCTGAACGGATTCGAGAAATCGCGAGGTAATCTATTTCAATATTGAAAAAACTTGGACTTTTTTCTAATCCATGGTGTCTACTGACTGAGAAAAACCGGGAATAAGCCAGGAATTTTATGCCAAACCGGGAATTTTTTCACCAAATTAAAAAAAAGTTTTATTATTTTAATTTGTTTTTAAAAAATCGCTTTTTATTTCAATTTTTATAGATATTTATACTGTTCTCAGGCATCACAATTGGTCCCCTTTTGTCCCCTTATTTCAATTTTATCCCAGGCTTCACAGTCTATCACCTATTTCCCTAAAAGTCCCCTTTTTTAATTTTGGCCCCTAAACGTACCCTATTTTCAAAATTTCCCCTAAATTTCCCCTATTTTTTCCTTTTGTCTTTTAATGATGCATTTACACCAAATTTAGCAAAGTGTCGTTGAAACTTTAAATTGAAAACTTTTGTTTTGAAAGTTTCCAATCTTGAAATTTATGATCGATGAAATTTATACAATTTGTAAGATTAGAATTTTGGTGAAGTCAAGTCTCAATTTTGTTTAGAAGTTGGTTGTTTTTTTAATATTATTTAATTATTACTAAAGTTTTAATGCAATTATCTTGATAAATAACAAAATTCTTTACAGAAATTCAATAATTTTTAGGAATTTCAATAAAATTCTTCGAAAAAATTCAATTATTTTAAAAATTTTTACGAATATCTGGTCAAGAATTCAATTATCTTTTCAAATAGCAAAATTTTTCGCCAAAAATTCAATTATTTTCAAAAATTTATAAAAATCTTTGCAAAAGTTCAATTACTTTCAAAAGTTTTTTGCAATTCAATAATTTTCAATATTTACTATTTTCATAAAATCTATCAACAGATTTAATTATAGAAACAATTTTTTGATACAATTCTACGAAAAGATTCAATTATTTTCATAAATAATAAAATTTCATTTACGAATTTAATTATTTTCATCGCAGAATTTCAAATATTTTTAATACAATTTTAAATAAATTCCTTGAAAAATGCAATTATTATTGAAATTTTTTTTTAAAACTTGAGGAAAGAATTCAATTTTAAGAAACATTCAATTATTCAGTAAAACAAAAAAATTCGTTGCAATAATTCAAATAGTTTCATAAATAACATTTAATTCGTCGCAGAAAATCAATTATTTTCAAAATTTTTATAGTAATTTTGCAAATGAATTCAATTAGCTTGATAAACAACAAAATCGCATAAATTCTTCCCATAAAATCATTTATTCTAAGGAATTTTAATAAAATTCTTTTCCAAAATTCAATTATTTTGATAAATATCAAAATTTATGACAAGAATTCAATCTTTTGAAAAGTAATAAAATACTTTACAGAAATTGAATTATTTTCAAAATTTTTAAAAAATTCTCGTCAAGAATTAAATTATCTTTATAAATAGATAGGCAAAATTCTTCTCATGAATTAAATTATTGTCAAAAATTTTTCAAAAATTGATCTGAAAATTTCAATTATTATAATTGAATATTAAAAGCATTATAGCGTGAATTTTTAGAAATAATTGAATTTTGAAAAGGTTTCATATTAAAATCTTTAAAAATTTTAATTTTTTCATACTTTTAACTAAAAATTCTGTAGAAGAATTAATTTTTTTTGAAAAAATTTATTTCAATTTTACTTGAAATTATTTTTTTTTAAGTTTTTATTTTCTAATGTGTAATATATAGGATTTAATTGTAGAATTTCCGAATAATTGAAACTTCGTAAAATTGAATATTTTAAACAAATGGATTTGAAAATTGTCAAAGAAATTTTTCAAAAATTATTAAAAATACTTGATTTAAAGGAGAATTTTAGTTAAAATTTCTTGAAAATAATATTTAATCTGAAATGATAAAAATCATTTTGAAGAATATTGTACTTCTTCAAAATTATTTTTATCATTTCAATTAAATTATTATTTTTAAGAATTTTTTACTAAAATTCTTCTTTAAATCAATTAATTTTCAAAAAAGTACTTTGATAATTTTCTAATCCACTTATTTACAATATTCAATTTTACGAATTTCAATTATTCATAAATTCTTCAAATGAATATTATATTAGAAAATAAAAACTTCAAATAATAAAAAAAAAAAAAAAAAATTCAATTAAACTTTTTCAAAAAAATTAATTTCAAAATTCAATTATTTCTAAAAATTCACGCTATATTGCTTTTAATATTCAATTACAATCTAAAATTTTAGCTGAAATTTATTTTTAAATCAATTTTTATTAGAAAATTCTACTAGAATTCAATTATTTAAATACGAAGAAATAATTTATTGAATAATTGAATGTTTCTTAAAATTTAATTCTCATAAAGGATTTTATCAACAAATTTTTAAATAATTAAATTTCTTTGGACGAATTTTAATAAAATTTTTAAGAATAATTAAATTTTTCGAGGAATTCAATTAAAATTGTATTAAAATAATTTTTTACGAAGAAATTTTTAACAAATTTTTAAATAATTGAATTCCTGTAAAATTTTTATTATTTTATAAAAATAATTGAATGATTGCGAAGAAATTTATAGAAAATTTGTAAATAATTGAATTCCTGTGAAATTTCTATTACTGTATGAAAATAATTGAATTTCAGGGAAGAATTTTTTTATTTCTGAAGATAATTGAAATTTTGACGAGAATTTTTTTTAAATTTTTGAACATATAGTTGAATTTCTGCGAAGAATTTTATTATTTTTTGAAAGTAATTGAATTTCAGAGAAAAATTTTATTATTTCTGAAGATAATTAAAATTTTGACGAAAATTCTTTTTAATTTTTTAACATAGTTTAATTTCTGAGAAGAATTTTATTGCTTTTGTAAATAATTGAATTTCTGCAATCATTTGTAATTTCTCTAAAATTCTCCAAATTATATTGTACAATTTACAAGGACAAAAAGTCCTTTTTCAATTTTAATAAAAAAATTCTTAATATTAATTTTTTAAAAATATTTTTAAAAATATTTTTTTGAAAGACAATAGTTTTACAATTATATACAATTTAAAAATGTCCAAAAAATTTCGTGTTTTTAAATACTTTCTCTGGTTTGAGCCCTGGTAATTTAATTTGTTAAAAAATAAATATAGTTTTAAAAATCTGGAAAACTTCTGTTTTTTAAGCCGGAAAAGTCAGGGAATTTCAAAATGAGTAAAAAGCGTGGCAACCCTGATTTAATCAATTTCTTTTTTCCAGTCTTGCCGAGGGTCTTCCGAAGAGAAGTCAATTAATCCAGCGACTAATTGCCTACTGGACTCTAAAGAGACAATTCAGAAATGGCGTTCCACTGTTGCGACGACTGCAAAGTACTCATCCGCACTCGCGACCACCACCACTCGGTGGTTCAATGTCACCCGCACCCGATGGCGAATTACGTGACGAAATGTATCGACAACTGAAATACTGGCAATGCCTCCGACAGGATTTGGAACGAGCGCGATTACTTTGCGAATTGGTTCGGAAGCGGGAGAAATTAAAAAAGGAACTATTCAAAGTGTAAGTAACGCTCCTTACTAACAGCAGAGATTTCTTTGCTTAAAAGACGCTTGAGGTCTAAGAAAAATTCTTTTTTTTTTGTTTCAGAAAAGAGAAGTGCCTATGGTTCGAGCTACGCCCACTGGAAAGTGTCCTAAAAATGCTCCTCGAAGCAATGAAAGCAAGAGATGCGAACGACGTATTCGGTCAGCCGGTGAATACAATAGAAGTACCCGATTATTTGGATATTGTATCAAGGCCAATGGATCTATCGACAATGGAGGGAAAAATCGATAAACAAGAATACGACACATTGAGTGCATTTGAATCTGATTTTATGCTCATGGCGAATAATTGTCTCGCCTATAATCGTAAGGATACAATGTTTTATCGTGCCGGCGTGAAAATGAAGGAACAAGGAATTATTCTATTTGAACAAGCGCGTAAAGATTATCCCGAATTGGACATTATACCCGAGCCAATTGTTGTGGAACAAGTAAATCAAAAATCACGTAAACGTGAACGTAATAGTCGTTCACGTGTTGAATCGGAATCGCAGACAAATGACAAGGAAGTAACAAGTGGTGGAAGTGGTGGTGGTAGTGGTGTTAATCGTCGAACTGCCGTTTTATTCACGCGTAAAGCAAGAGCACGTGCCAATCGGGGAACAGTCACGAATCAGGAGAGCGATCAGAAAAAAGCAACTGATAGCTTTCGAGTCTATAGGTACTAAAAACAAGACACCTTCTCATTTTTTTGATGAGAATGTAAAAAAACGAAAATCCTAAAAATACTTTTAAAAAATATACTGTAAATAGAATTCTTTTTTTAAAGAATATTTTAGGAGACTTCGACTACATTTTTAACTATATCAAGTTTTATCCTTCGATAAAATTATTTTTATAGTAATCAATGGTCAAAAAATATTCTGACCTTTTTGGATTTTTATTTTTCCTTAAAAATTCATAGACAAAAAATATTTTTAAAAAATTCATCCATAATTTTGCAGAAAATGTTTTTGTATACACAAAAAAATTACCGAATGAAAAAAATTATTTTTATTATTATTGAAGCATTTTTTTGAAAACTGTTTTTAAGTTGTTTTTTTAAAAAACCGATTATTTAATTTTTTGTATATGACAATTTACTTGTTCATTTTTTCTAACTAATTTCAAATCATAATTTTTTAAAATAAAAAAAAATTTTTTTTAATTAAAAAGTAATACAAAAAATTATAATTTGAATTTAGTGAGAAAAAAAGCAAATGAATTTTCATATAAATATAAAAAATAATTTTTATTATTTTCCAAGCATTTTTTTTTTAAGAAAAAACATTTTCATAACGCGGTGCAAAAAAGGGTACTTTTTTGCACCTTGTTATGAAAAATATCGTTCGTAACTAGTGCTAGCAGTTGTTACGAAATATACTATTTTTTTAGGTTGAAAATGCTAAAAAAGCATTGTTATTCAATTTTTTAATATGAAAATTCACTTGTTCATTTTTCTAACTAATTTCAAATCATGTTATGTATTTTATACTTTTTATTTTTAAAAAATTATCATTTGAAATTAGTCAGAAAAATAAGTAAATGAATTTTCATATAAAAAAATGAGTAACAATGGTTTTTTTACCATTTTTAACCTAAAAACAAGTTTAAAAAAAAAATGCTTCAAAAATACTAAAAATCATTTTTTTCATTCGGCAATTTATTTGTGAATAGAAAAAAACATACTTTCTAGAAAATTACATATAGATTTTAAAATACTATCAATTTTTAAGAAAAAATAAAAATCCAAATATGATGAGAATATTTTATGAAGATTTGATTTTCTCTCTGAAAAATTACTATAAAAATAATTTTATAGAAAATTTAAATCATTTTCTTTGATATAGTTAAAAATGTAGTCGAAGTTTCCCCTTAATTCTTTTTTTTTGTAATTTTTTACAATTTTTTAAAAATTATTTTACGTATTTAGGGGAAAATCTAAATGAAAAAATTGTTTCGAATTTCGAAAAAATGGATTTTTTTTTTAGATAATTGAATTGTATTTCAATTGACTTTAATTATTGATTTTCAAAATGATAAATTTTCTTTGAATTTCTTTCAAGAGGGAATTGTGAGAGAAAAAAGATTGTATTTAGAAATAAATAAAATAAATAATTCAAATTTTAGAAGAATTGCTTTAATTTTTTTAACTTTAATTTTTTTTTGGGGTAATTTATGAATTTTTTGGTCTTGGGGAAAGGATTTGTGGTTTTTTTTTTAAGTTTTTTTTGTGTTTAGCTGTTACTCTTAAAGTTGTTAATTTAGATTTAATAATTAAAATTAACGTTCGATAATAAAAGTATTTTTAATCTTTCTGCGAAATAAAATGTAGCGAATGTTCAATTCTCATCTTTCGCAGTAATTAGAATTTTATTATTATTTATTTATTTCATATATGGGCAATATGATAATGAATAATTAGATTAATAATTATAATAATTGTAATTATAATTTTTCATTTTGAATTAGATTGAATTATAAATTTTCAATAATTCGCAATTTGAACAAATTTCCATAAAAATTGTAAATCAGAATAATATTTACAAAGGAAAAATTATGGTTTATTAAATGAAAATGTGACGAGTTTCTTTTAATTTTTAACAGTTAATTTATAATCACAAACGCAATGGGAAATTTTATGAAAAAGTTAAAAAAAAACAGTAATAAAAAGAAAGGTGTTTTCTTTAAATAATACTTAATTATATTTTATATTCCCGGGAAGAGGAAATTTTGAAAAATTCATTTTTCACAAGTTTTTAATTTTTAGAATAAGATTATTTTTCTTTATTTTCGTTTATATTTTGTAGGATTTTTTTTTGAATTTTTTAAAATCATTTTCTTTCTTTTAACTATTTTTCATTTTTTAATAATTTTCTTTCTTTTAATTATTTTTTATTTTTTAATAATTTTTTTCTTTTAACTATTTTTTCTTTTTTAATAACTTTCTTTCTTTATATTTTTATTTTTTAATTATTTTTCTTAAAACTATTTTCTTATTTTTTTTTTAACTATTTTCTTTTTTTTTAAAACTATTTTTTTTATTTCTTAACAATTTTTCTATTTTTTTTTAACTATTTTCTTTATTTTTTAAAATAATTTTCTTATTTTTTCAATATTTTTCTTTTAAATTTCTTTTGCTTCCTCGTGAAGAAACTTTGGTATTTATTTATTAATCTAGCTTTTTTTTTGTTTTCTTGATAATTTTTTTTTTAAATTAATTTAATTCTCTCTTTAAGGAGCGGAATGATGGACAGTGACATTGGAGAGGGCGAGAGTCAATCGTCGAGTTGCAGTAGTTGTTCATCGAGTCGTTCAACAACACCGGGAATTGACAATGCTGATGGGACGGAGAAAATTGAAACCAAATCGACAATTAAGGATGAGGAGAAAATGAAAATTTCGTCACTCAGCGGTCTCGAGGCATTGCAACTTGTTTGGGCGAAATGTCGTGGTTATCCTTGGTATCCAGCGTTAATAATTGATCCAAGTACACCGCGTGGAACAATTCACAAGGGAGTTCCAATTCCCGCGCCTCCAGACGATGTTCTTGCTTTGAAGGATAATTACAAGGATCCCGTGTTTCTCGTCTTATTCTTCGACACCAAGCGAACGTGGTTTGTATTTCTTTTTCAATTTATTATCAGGGTTTATTTTTAAATATAAATTTTAAAATAATTTCATAATCAAAATTTTTAAAATTTACTTATTAAGTACAAAATTAATTATTATTGTTTATATTTTCAAAAATTTTAATATAATTCTTCGCAAGAAATCAATTATATTAACATTCCTTGGAAGAATTCAATTATTTTTATAAATAGAAAAATTTTTTGTCAAAAATTCAATTATTTTCAATAAAATTTTAAAAGAATTTCACGAAAAAATTCAATTATTTTCTAAAATTTTTAATAAATCCTTCTAAACAATTCAATTATTTTTTTAAATAGTAAAATCTTTGCAAAAATTCAATTATTTTCAATAAAATTTCACGAAAGAATTTAATTTTTTTTTCTTAATTCGCTATAAAACTTTTCAAAAGAATTCAATTATTTTTTAAAATTTTTAATAAATCCTTCATAACAATTCAATTATTTTTATCAATAGTAAAATTCTTTGCAGGGATTCAATTATTTTCAAAACAATGTAAATAAAATTACACTAATGAATTTAATTATTTTCAAAAATTTCCATAAAATTCAATTTCAACAAGAATTTAAAATTCTCTAAAAATAATTCAATTATTCATAAAATATTTTTAACAAATTCTATATGAAAAGTAAATTATGTTCAATGTAATTTTTAAATATATTCGTCAAAAAAATTGAAAGAATTCAATTATTTTCAAAAAATAATAAAATTCTTGTGATGAATACAATTATTTTGAATATATGTTTAATTTTAATAAAATTCTTTACAGAAATTCAATTATTTTCGAAACAACTTTAATTGAATTTCTCGAAAGAATTTAATTATTTTCAAAGTTTTTCTATAAAGTTCTTAAAAATAATTCAATTTTTCCTAAAGTTTTAATAAATTCTTCGATCATTTCAATTATTTTTTTAAATAGTAGAATTGAAGAAATTCAATTCTTTTCAAAACAATTTTAATAGAATCCGTCAAAAGCATTTAATTATTTTCAAATATTCACTTAAAATTCATTTATTTCCTAAAATTTTAATAAATATTCTTCGAAACAATTCAATTATTTTTATAAATAGTAAAATTCTTCGCAAAAATTAAATTATTTTTATAAAAAATAATATTCTCGTCAGGAATTCAATTATTTTCAATACAATTTTAATAAAATTCTCCTTCATAAAATTCAATTATTGCTTTTAAAATTTTTAATTAAAATTATTAAAAAAACTCCATTATTTTTAAAAAATTCAAAGAAGTTGTTCAAAAGAAATTAATTATGATTTTTCAAAATTCAATAAAATACATCGCAAGAATTCAATTATTTTCATGAATAATAAAACTTATCATAGAATTTCAATTATTTTTAATACAATGTTTTTTTAACCGAATTCCCCGAAAAACGAAATTATTCTTGCAATTTTGATTAAAATTCATCGAAAAATTTCAAATTATTAAAAATTTGTTGATAAAATTCTTCACGAGAAGTCAATTTAAATTTTTTTATTTTTGTATTTAAATAATTAAATTCTCGTAGAATTTTCTAATAAAAATTGATTTTAAAATGAATTTCAGTTAAAATTTTATAGATAATAATAATTGAATATTAAAATAGCATTGTAACTTGAATTTTTAGAAATAATTGTATTTTTAAAAAGTTTAATTGAATTTTTTTTTTGAAATTATTTCTAGATTCTATTTTCTAAATATTTAATTAAAGAATTTCGGAATAATCAAAATTTCTTAAAATTGAATTGTAAACAAAATTGATTTGAAAAATCTCTAGAAACTTTTGCAAAAATTATTAAAAAATAATTGATATAATTGTTCATTTATTTCTTTCGAAGAATTTTAATAAAATTTTTGAAATTAATTACATTTTTCGAAGAATTTACTTAAAATTGTATTAAAAATAATTGAAATCCTGTAACGGATTTTATTACATTTCTTTGAAAAAATTGAAATGCTGTGAAGAATTTTATTATTTATGAAAATAATTCAATTCTTGTAACGAATTTTATTAAATTTTTTTTAAATAATTGAATTCTTTTGAGAAATTTTATTAAAATAGTAGATTTTAAAAAGATTTAAATTTCAACCAAGAATTTTATTATTTTTGAAATGTAACTGAATTCTTTAAAAAAATATTTGAAAATAATTACATTTTTCGAGGAATTCATTTAAAATTGTATTAAAAATAATTTAAATCCTAGGAAAAATTTTAGTTTTTGATAATAATTGAATTCTTACAACGAATTTTATTACATTTTTTTAAATAGCTGAATTACTTATAAAAATTATTAATTTCTTGCGAAGGATTTTATTAATTTTTTTTTTTTTTTGAAAAATTTTATTGAAGTTTAAATTATTATTAAACATGAAGGTATTAAGAACAACGAATTTTATTAAATTTTTTTAAATGATTGAATTGATGTGAAAAATTGTATTACTTATAAAAAAGTATTAAATTCTTTCGAAGGATTTTATTAAAATTTTCGTAAATAATTCAATTTTTTTTTAATTTGAAAAATTTGATTGAAGTTTAAATTATTATTAAAGTTATTGAATTTCAAAAGGTTTAAATTTGTTATTTTTCTTTTTTTATATAGTTTGTATTTTCGTTTTTTTTTATTTTAAAATTTTGTAAGTATATTGTACTTTTTTTTTATTTTCTTTTTGTTTTTTTTTTTTGCGATGAAAAAAGTTTTTCAAATTGTAACAGTAAAATATTTTTTGCAGGCAATGGCTACCGGGCGAAAAATTAGAGAAATTGGGAGTGTCGCAGGAATTGGACGAGGCAAAATTAATTGAATCGAGAAAGCCAACGGATAGAAAAGCAGTGAAGAAGGCCTATCAAGAGGCACTGCACTATCGAAAGCAAACACATAATACGGCATTGAATGTCGCAACAACGAGCTAAGAATTTATAATTTTCAAAAGAATTTACTTTTTTATATATATATTATATTAATTTAATAATTTAATTATTCCACTGATTTTACAAAAAAAACTTATTTTTCTCTAAGAGAACGAAACAAAAATTATTTATTTCATTTGTGAGAAAATCGTTGTTCTTACAATATTTGTTCTTAGAATTTGTAGATTAGTTTAAATCTAGTTTTTTTTTTAGTATTTTTCAACTAGAAACCATTTTTCTTTTTTTACACTTTTGATTCCATTTCTGCGAAATAAAGACTTTAGGAAAAGAAAAAGTTTTTTCTTTACTTTCGCACAATTTGTGGCTTGTAATTCAATTTACTGGCTTCTGCGAGTTCATTAGCGTACAAATCCAAGCGTTGTGTCATCTAAAAAGGTAAAAATTTTTTTTTGCAAATTTTTAATTAATTTAAAATTTTGAAAAACTTTGTTCAGTTAATTTTTTTTTTAAATTTTTCAGAAAGTTACGAGTGAATCTTTAAAGAAGATTTCGATAACTATTTGGAAACATTCCCAAACAGGGGGAAGAAAATTATTCAAGAACAAAAACTTACTCTCAAGCCCCATTTGTCCTTCATTTGACGGCAAAGATTGAGATCAATTTGAGTGATTAGAATTCCATCTCGATTGCGATTTAAACCCGGAGTTCGTGTACCATCGGGAGCGGTTGCATAACTTGAACCATAAAAGTGACCGAAATCTTTATGCGCTGGCTTTCCATCGGCCGATGTGAATTCATTTGGAAATATTTCCGTTCCAACGCGATTCACAGCAAAGGTGTAATAATTATTCGCTATCGCCGCATTTCTTGCTTCAATTGGCCAAAGTGGTTCCGATAGTTCGCCAACAGTCGCACTTGGATTAAATACAATCTAAAAAATTCATTTCAATTTCTTTTTATTATAAAAAATATTTTCCATTAAGCAGGGCTCGAACTATAGGTCCGTAAATTTAATTCAAGTCCGTAAAATTCAGTTTTTTTTTAAAAAAAAGGTCCGTAAAGTTCGTAATTTGATTGAGAAAAGACAAAAAGTTCGTAAATTTTACGATATAATTTGGAGAATTTTAGAGAAATTACAAATGATTGCAGAAATTCAATTATTTTCAAAAAATAATAAAATTCTTCGCAGAAATTCAACTATGTTCAAAAATTAAAAAAAAATTCTCGTAAAAATTTCAATTATCTTCAGAAATAATAAAATTCTTCTCTGAAATTCAATTATTTTCAAAAATTTTAATAAAATTCTTGGCAAACATTTAATTATTTTCATAAAATAATAAAATTTTTACAGAGATTGAATTATTTTCGTAAATAATAAAATTCTTTTTAGGAATTCAATTATTTTCATAAATAATAAAACTTAATGCAGAATTTGAATTATTTTTAATACAACAATTTTAATCGAATTCCTCGATTCTAGTAGAATTTTCTAATAAAAATTGATTTAAAAATGAATTTCAGTTAAAATTTTAGATTTTAATTGAATATTAAAAACATTATAGCGTGAATTTTTATAAATAATTGAATTTTAAAAACGTTTCAAATTAAAATCTTTGAGAATATAAATTTTTCTTATTTTTAACTAAAAATTCTGAAAAATCAATTTTTTTGAAAAAGTTTAATTGCGAATTTTTTTTTGAAATTATTTTAAGTTTTTATTTTCTAATATATATTTAATTAAAGAATTTCCAAGTAATTGAAATTTTGTAAAATTAAATAGTAAACAAATCAATTTGAATATTCTTTAAGGTCTTTTTCAAAAATTACTAAAAACAATGGATTTATAGAAGAATTTTGCTTAAAAATAACTAAAAAAAACATATAATTTTGGAGAAGTTACAAATTATTGCAGAAATTTAATTATTTTCAAGAGTAATAAATTTCTTTGCAATAATTCAATTATTTTCGTAAATAGTAAAATTCTTTTTAGGAATTCAATTATTTTCGCAAATAATAAAACTGATCGCAGAATTTCAATTATTTTTAATACATTTTTAAACAAATTTCTTGAAAAATATAATTATTTTTAAAAATTTTGTTATACATTGTCGAAAGAATTCACTTATATAAAAATTTATTTAATTAAAATTCTTTATGAGAATTCAATTTTAAAAAACATTCAATTATTCAATCAATTATTTTTTTTGTAAACAAATAATTGAATTCCAGTGGAATTTTCCTAATAAAAATTGATTTAAACAATGAATTTACTTAAAAATAATTATTAAATTAAAGTATTATTTATTAAAGTATTATTTAAAAAGTATTATTATTAAAGTATTATTTAAAGTATTAAAAATAATTGAAATTCTGCATCGAATTTTATTACTTGGTTTTTAAATGAAGAATTTTATTATTTAAATGAAAATAATTGAATTCTTGTAACGAATTTTATTATTTAAATGAAAATAATTGAATTCTTGTAACGAATTTTATTACATTTTTTGTAAATAATTGAAATCTTTTGAGAAATTTTATTAAAATAGTAGATTTTGTAAAGATTTGAATTTCAACCAAGAATTTTATTATTTGTGAAATGTAAACTGAATTCTTGCAAAAAATGTTTGAAAATAATTACATTTCTCGAGGAATTCATTTAAAATTGTATTAAAAATAATTTAAAACCTTAGGAAAAATTTTATTATTTATGATAATAATTGAATTGTGACAACGAATTTTATTAAATTTTTTTAAATAATTGAATTGATGTGAAAAATTCGAGCCCTGCATTAAGAAATAAAAATTAATGAATGATTGAAATGAATTAAGAAGTTGAATAAAAAATCTGGAAAAAGGAAAAGTAAAAGCAAAATTTTGAGAATATTTACTTCAGCGCCATTTATTCCGAACATCATCCAATTTTGAGGATGATGACGACCGTAGCAAATATTGATGGCAATTCGACCGAAGCAAGTTTCAAAAACTGGATGTCCAGTATTTCCCTCGGCATAATATGTCGATTCGTTAAAATCGCCAATTCTTGGAATATGATTTTTTCTATGCTTTCCAATAACTCTTCCATCGTTGCCAATGACAACGCATGTATTCCAAATTGTTTCGCCATGCTCAAAATCACGTTCTAAAATCGGTGAAATTATAATCATTCCATATTTGGCGGCAATTTTTGACAATAATGTCGTTGTTGGTCCTGTCTCCGCGTCCTCAGCAAATTCACACCAGGGATATTTTTCTCTCGTGCAAAATGCAAATGGCATTGCTTGAAAAATATCGAAATTTTTACTTTTATTTTCTATTCTATTCAAAATTTTTAATTATTTCAAAAGTTTAAAACTACTATTTACCCTCTTCTTTTTTCCACTTTTAAAATTTCCTTTTGAATTATTATTCTAAATTTAAATCAGTTTGTCTAAATGTTCAAATTATATTTTTTAAAAGAAACAGAAAATTTGAAAATTGGTTAAAAATCAAAAAGTTTAAGTAAAAAGAGTTTTTAAGTTTAAAAAAATTATTAATTTAGGTTTATTGAGAAATATTTACGCCAGGCCTCTTGAAGACAAACAATATTGACTTTGCAGGCAGCTGCATGCTCCAGATATCCAGTAATTTTTTTATGAATCGCGTCCCTTTGTTGATGAATTGAAACAGTTGTTGGTTGAACAATGGAATTTTGAATGACGGCAACGCGAACCAAGCGGGACGATCGTAACTCCTCCTCAATTGTATTGCCTAATTTCCATCCTTGGACTTCACATTTTAAATTTTCCGAAATCTTCGGCAACTCTAATTTTCTTTAAAAACAAAATAGCATCAAATTTAAAGAAAAACAGCAAAGTAAATATAAGAAAATATAATTATATTTTATTATATTGTCCTATTAAATTTAATTAGAATTATAATTAATTAGTTATATATATTATAATTGATTTAATAAAATTAATTAATTATAATTTTATTAGAAAATAAAATTAGATAAAATTAAAATTAATTAAATTATTTTTTAAATATTCGTTATATTTTATGTTTGAAAAATTTATTTTTCTTTAATTTATCTTTAAAAGGGCGTTTTTCAATTTTTTCCACTGTTCGATAAAGTAAATTGTACGATGAACTTGGGTTACGGAATAATAAGATAAAAATGTGTTTAAATAGAGATAAAAAGTACTTTTTTTAAATTTGAAATTTTTTTTTTGTTATTATTTATATAAAAAATATAATTTCTTACTGAATTGTTTCAGAACCGTATAAAATTCGTCTTGCCTCACATAGTTCTGGTTCAGGTAAATGTTTCTCTAAAATCTCGTCGAGTGTACGATGATACATTTTGAAAATTTATTTTTTTTTCCAACTCGAAGGTAAGCGTTCCAATGAATTACTGAATTTCTGAACTTTACTCGACTGAAAATATTTAACTCTGATGGAATGCGCACGTCACTTATCTTTAAATATTTACAGTCTACAGCGCAGCGCTTCCTATTAATTTCTCTTGTATTTTTTTTTTTTTTGAATTTTTCTTCATAATGGAAAATTTGAATTTTTATGCGGAATTTTAATTTTTCGGTAATTTTTAAGTAACTAGAAGTTTATTTAAAAAAAACCCGGTGACTTTAATTTGAATTTGAATTTTCCCGCGGTTAGATGCGGGTCATGCGCATTTTGACTTTTGTACCAATGACGTAACAGTCGTACATAACCTAAAAAAAAGGGACAATATAGTTTCCAAGTCTCTTTTATAAAATCGAAAAACAAATTTAAAGAGTTAGATTTGTTTATTATTCGAAACTAAAGGTAAGTATTTTTCTTCTACTTACTGAACTATCATTTTATACAAATGTCAAGTCTTTATGGTTTAATGTCAATATGTTTTGTTTGTTTAAATTTTACTCTTGTGCTCAAGATTTACAATACCTCGGGAATTTTTTATTTTTAATTGACATTCTTGAATTTTTCTTTTAAACATATGCAATGAATAGCAAAATTTCTAAAGAATTTGAAGCCTATGATACAAATTTTGTAAATATAACATAAAATATTAAATTTTAATCAAATATTGAAAAATATCCATTTTACCAGTGAAGGAATGTTGACCAGTAAAAGAACAGTTGTATTTTCCAGTGAAAGAACATATCAAATTTATATTAATACAGTGTCTAAAAATAACAAAACTTATATGAAAAACGTTACAAATATTTTGAAACAATTTTGCAACTTACTATTATTCATATTTTCCTGATTACACAGCCAGAAATATTATTTAATTGCGCCTGAAACTTGTAACCTTTTTTCTGTTTATGCTTCATTCATTTGTCATGTTCATAACCCATCAAAACATTAAAAAATTATTTTCAGAAATAACTTGCATATTGAATCTATTTTTTTATCATAAACTATATTTTGAAGAAATAAGGAACTAAAAATATTTTTTTATAGTGCTAAAAGTTATAATTTGTGAAATATCGTAATCGTGGCACACTTCAAAAATTTTGAGTCTTATTAATTTCAAAAATTAAAACTTTGGTAATTATCTGAATTTACATTTGCAGTCAGGTCTGGATTAAAAAAAGCGAATAGAAATATTTTTTTATTCTATCTGAAAAATATAAATTATTTCTGTACAGGTTTATATTTTTAGATTATTCTCATTCTGAAAAGGCCCGCAGGGTTGTTGGGCGAAAGTTAATGCACTTTTAGTAAAAATCTTTTAAATAAAAAATTGGATTATACAAAACAAAAATTATTAACATCACATACTGTTATTAATTATCATTATTATTTAAAGATCAAAAAAAAAAAAAAAAAATGGAGGAGATAGACCATAAGGGGCCCCATAGCCCAACTGGAGTCAGTAAAGCCATGGGTATCCAAGGTCGTGTAGCCGATGAAAGAGAAAGATGTATTGGAATGACAGCCGATGAACGTGCATGGCGTGCACAATGGCTTAAAGATCAAGTTCTCGAACACGATGAGCCAAAAATCCCCGATGGTTACTATCAGGCTCGATACAATCCAATAAGAAGATTTTATCGGTTCCCAATGCAGAAAGTGGAAGAATTTCTCACACCAAAACTTGTAAATAATTTCTATTTAATATTTCTATTTTCATTTTAAAAAATATAACAGAAAATAACTTTCCATTTTCAATTGAAATATAATTTTCCTCTCAATTTTCCAGGGTCTTGAAATGGCAGAAACTATTCGTCATTGCACCGCTAAAACCGCATTGGGAATAGCAATCTGTTACTTAGGGTTTTATTACTTCAAATATAATGCCGGGGTAAGTTGAGTTCAATAAAATCATTTGAAACAAAAAAAAAAAATCAAAATGCATTTCTTAAAGGTAAGCTTTTGGAGGATTATTCATATTTAATTATTACTAACTATCCGATTTTTTTAAAGCGAAAATCGGTTTTTTGTCTTCCTATTACTATTGTATTTAATATATTAATTTTTTCGTAAATTATTACAGACTTGGGAATCAAAAGGTGGCTGGCATGTAAGTAGATCGAGACCAACACTGTTTCTTGATGATCCAAATTGGCCAAATCATGAGGATAGACTTTATGCGAATGAATATTGTGATCAGGGTTTCAAAAAGTCACCTATATAAATTATTAGAATATACTTCCACTGCTTTAGTTATTTATAAAATAAAATTATGTATTCAATGAACTGTGTCTGATTTTTTCACTTAAACAGATAATACGACAGAATGTAAATATTGAGAAGGAAAAATAAATAAGACTATACTGTAAGGTATAGGGATGAGAAGGTTTAAGAATGACTGGAAAAAAAGAGAAGCAGAAAAGTTTTGCTATCTGGACCATTGGTTTTAATGCAGTAGAATGTAGACCTAATAATTATGGAAAGTGACATAATTATACTGCATCGACGGGTATAGGGATGAGAAGGTTTAAGAATGACTGGAAAAAAGAAAAACAAATATATTGTTAGTTTTATAATTACAGGGCTCGAACTAGGTCCGTAAATTTTAGAGAAATTACAAATGATTGCAGAAATTCAATTTTTTTCAAAAGTAATAAATAATATTTAAATATTAAAATTTTAGTTAAAAATATTCTTGAAAATAATAATTGAATTGATGATGATTTTATCACTCGGTTCGTATTTTTAAATACTTTCACTGGTTCGAGCCATGGAATTATTATTTTTTTAAATGAAATGAGTTTCACTTGGAGTGACGGGTACTTTAACCCCTTACCAACCCTTAATCTATAAATTTAAATATTTGGTATTATTCCAGTATATGGTAACCATGGTAACTGTCCCTGACAATATTTCATAGGATAATGTAGGATCCTATCCTTCGATAAATTTTAAAACACAGTCGAATTGAAGACAAATTAAAAAATAATGTTTGTAATAAATTAAGACCTTAGATTAAATTTTACAAGTTAAACCATTGTGATTAATATATCCTAGAGATTCTAGAACCTTTATTTTAAATTTAACTCCAAAGGTACATGGAGGGGTAGGTCAGGGTTTAAAGTAGTTACTACCACCACTGCCAGATAGCACTCACTGTGAAAGTAGTTTGTCTAAATACCCTCAAGAAATAAGAAAAAAAAACCCATTCAGTGAACCCACCGATCGTTGCCGGATATTGTTATACGTTTTGATTCCCTCAGATTTCCTCGATGTTTTTCACCGGTTCTGCATCACAGGAACCTAAACAACATTGGGTTTAGGGAAAATGCACCTAAAAGGACATTTAATAATTCTCGGCAAAATGTGCAGGTGCCTAGATGTAGGGAGTAATAAAAAGTGATAAAAATATGGGCTCACAAAAAATCAGATCAGGTTACTCCGAAAAGTAGTCGCGCGTAAAAATGACGTTTTGTCGTGTTTCGTTCTTGTATTTATTTACCGGTCAGATCCACCGTGGAATTACCTCCTCGTGTTGATACATTGTGGATCACTTTTTTCTTTCTCTCTTTCTTTTTTTTCGTTGTGATAAAAAGGCAAATAAAAACCGGTTGAATTATTCGGTTAATGTGAGAGTGAATATTTATTGATATGTTTGTATTTTGATATATGATATGGGAGTTCCTGAACGGGGTGTTTTGACGGCGATCGTGGGTATAACTGCGTTCGCCGTTTATTTTAATAGCCTCGGCTGTGGTTTTGTGTTTGACGACATCTCAGCAATTAAGGATAATCGAGATTTAAGACCTCATACGCCCTTAAAAAATGTCTTTTTTAATGACTTTTGGGGCACGCCGATGCATAAGGTAAATTTATTTTGTTTTTGCATAAATTCATAAAATTTGCTTCAAAATAAAATAAAAAAAATTCTTTGGCGCCATGACAAATATCAACCCTTGCGCTTGCGGCCATAGCATCAAATGCCTATTTGACATCCGCGTATTGATCCGCGCGTATTGTCGTTCCCGGTTCCTCTTTTGATTCGTCTACTTTGTTCTGATTCATTTCCTTTTCATCTCTCTCACGGGGGTTCTTAACCTTTTTTTCATTGAGGAACAAAAATCTCTGAATGTCCTCCTATGAATAGAATTCTATTTCCTTTCCTCTGATTTCCAAATGATATTTTATAGATGCCTGTAAAATATGTAAAATGCATTTTTTAAATTACATTCACTTGGAACTATTTTTGATAGTATGCAAAAAAATTCCAATAACCTTTTGCAATAGAATTACTTCTTTGAAATATTTAATTAAAATTTTTCTCTTATTTTTAAATACAGGAACAGTCTCACAAATCATACAGGCCACTTTGTGTTCTTACATTCCGTTGGAATTACCTGATCCATCAACTTGATCCTATGGGCTATCATCTGTTGAATGTATTCCTGCATATTGGAGTATGCATATTATATTTTAGGTTTGTATTTGAAAATTTTATTTAGCAACAGAATTGAAATAACTTATTAAAGCTTTCTAACATATTGTTTCAATATTCTCTAAATATTAATCATTAAATTAATTTTTCAGGACATGCTTGATGTTTGTATCAGATTTAGCAAGTTTTATATCGGCTGTGTTGTTTGCAGTTCATCCTATACACACAGAGGCTGTAAGTGAAAAAGACGAACTAAAATGATTAATTCTATAGAGAATTGATGTCTGAAGATGGATATAGGGATGAGGAGGTTTAAGAATGACTGGAAAAAAATTAAACAGACGAATTCTGTTTTCTTGGACAATGGTTTCAATACAATAAAAATAGACCTAGTGTTTAATTATAGACAGAAAGTAAATTAAAAAAAAATTAGGTTGCACCATTGAGTATAAGGATGAGAAGGTTTAAGAATGATTGGAAAAAAATAAGCAGACGAGTTCTGTTTAGTGAAACATTGGTTTCAATACAATAGACGGTAGACCTAATATTTAATTACAGACAGAAAGTAAATTAAAAAAAAATTTGGTTGTTTTTTTGTTATGGGGATGAGAAGATTTAAGAATGACTGGAAAAAAAGATAAGCAGACGAGTTCTGTTTTCTGGGACATTGGTTTTAATACAGCAGAAGAAAGACCTAATATTCAGCTATAGAATTCAGTTATAGTTATAGTAAATTGAAAAGAAATTAGGCTACACCGTAGGGTATAGGGTTGAGAAGGTTTAAGAATGACTGGAAAAAATAAACAGAAGAGTTTTGCTATCTGGAATATTGGTTTCTGTTTCACTACAACAGAAAGTAGACCTAGTGTTTAATTATAGACAAAAACTAAATTGAAAAAAAATTTTGTTGAACTGTCAGGTATAGCGATGAGAAGATTTAAGAATGACTAGAAAAGAACAAAAGCAGTCAAGTTCTATTATTTGGGACATTGGTTTCAATACAGTAGAATATTGACCAAATATTCAATTGTAGACAAAGTAAATTGAAAAGAAATTAGGTTACACCGTTGGGTATAGGGATGAGAAGGTTTAAGAATGATTGGAAAAAATGTAAGCAGAAGAGTTTTGCTATCTGTGTTAATGGTTTCAATACAACAGAAGATAGACCTAGTATTGCAGGCAGAAAGTAAATTGATAAAGGAACAGAATTAGTTATATAGGGATGAGACGAATCCGGAATAAAATTCTCTATTTTATTAATATGAAAAATAAAATCTAACAAAAATTGAATATTTAATAATTAATAGTACTCAAATTTAAATTTATGTACTTCAATAATTTAATTCATAAGATAAAAATGATTTAACAGGTTACGGGTGTTGTTGGGAGAGCAGAAACTTTATCATCACTATTTTATCTCGCTGCTCTCATAACTTACACAAAATGTTGCAAGAGTAAACGATCCACCGGTGAGATTACTTTTTTACCTGAAAGAAATATTAAAATTATTCCCTATTATGGTGGTTTATATAAACAAATATAATTTCAGGTTGGCAATCCCTGCTATTATCGATGTTTTTCGTTTTCATTGCAATGTTGTGCAAGGAACAAGGAATAACCGCAACCGCAGTGTGTGTTCTCTATGAGATTTTTGTCGCACAAAGGGTAATTAAAAATGAACTGTAAATTGTAGTATTACCTGTTTCTTTAGTTGTTAATTCCCTAATACTTTCTTTTAGGTGAGAGCTTTGGATATTATTTTAGCAATTAAGTCAACGCTTGATGGTAAAAAAATTTCTCCAACATGGTCGAATGAGGGCACAAAACGTCTAATGGCTTTGACCGTTGTTACGTTTAGCCTCCTTATTTTAAGACTAAATGTTATGGGTTCGAAATTACCAATATTTACCAGGTAAATACAATAGTTTCAAAAATTTATATTTGATGTAAGAGTAATTTATCAATTATTAATATATTAATTAATTAATTTTTTAGATTTGACAATCCAGCATCAGTGGCTTTGACGCCATCGAGACAATTAACGTACAATTATTTAGCAGCCGTGAATTTACGATTGCTATTTCTTCCATACGATCTATGTTGTGATTGGACTATGGGGACCATTCCCTTAGTAGAAAATATAATGGATCCTCGAATTTTGATGATTATTGGAGCACATGGAATTGTGATTGGTCTCACGATTTTTGCAATTCTAACTCGAAATCGTCAGACTTCGATTGTCATTATAATGGTTCGGAATAAATTATAATTTATTTGATGTTAAAAAGTAGAGAGTTGAAATTTTATCTATTTATTTATTTATTTCAGAGTCTAGCTATGATGATTCTTCCATTTTTACCAGCGTCAAATCTGTTCTTCCCGGTTGGCTTTGTAATTGCTGAACGTGTGCTCTACGCACCGTCAATGGGCTTTTGCATGCTAGTCGGCTATGGCTGGAGTGTTCTACGCGAACGTAAGAGTAAACGTTTGTCGACACTTTTTATATGGACAATATTATTGACACATTCGATGAAAACTTTTGCTAGAAATTACGATTGGTTGGATGAATATTCGATATTCATGTCCGGACTGAGAATGAATGATCGTAATGCAAAATTGTTTAATAATGTCGGACATGCACTGGAGAATCAGGGACGATTTAAGGAGGCACTTGATTATTTTAATATGGCCGTTCGTGTTCAGGGTGATGATATCGGAGCGCATATTAACGTTGGACGTACATACAATCATTTGAAAATGTTCAAGGAGGCTGAGGATGCGTACCTTAAGGTTTGTCTTCTATATTTCGTATTTGAATTTTTTTTTTCAAACAGTAGAGATTTTTTTCCCTATTTCTCAAATAATAGAAGAAGCAAAATAAAACTGTAGTTTCATTTTTATTTTCTTTTAGGCAAAGTCACTTTTACCAAAAGCGAAACCAGGAGAATCGTATCAGGCGCGTATTGCACCGAATCACTTGAATGTTTTCGTCAATCTGGCGAATCTTATAGCGAAAAATGCCACAAGACTTGAGGAGGCTGATCTGCTTTATAGACAGGCGATTAGCATGCGTGCGGATTATACACAAGCGTACATTAATCGCGGAGACGTTTTGATAAAGATGAATCGGACAAAAGAGGCGCAAGAGGTTTACGAACGAGCCCTCTTCTATGACAGTAATAATCCTGATATTTATTACAATGTACGTATTTCAGTAATTAAAAAACCATATTTTAATTTGATTATTAACTTTTCTAATCATTATTATTATTCCTAAAAAACGACATTAATGTAAATTATCGATTATTCCAGTTGGGAGTTGTTTTTCTAGAGCAGGGAAAAGCTTCCCAAGCACTCGCCTATTTGGACAAGGCATTGGAATTCGATCCTGAACATGAGCAAGCTCTGTTGAATTCAGCAATTTTATTGCAAGAATTAGGACGCGCTGAATTGCGTAAAGTTGCTAGAGAACGTCTTCTAAAATTATTGAGAAAAGACTCGAATAACGAGAGAGTTCACTTTAATTTAGGAATGTTGGCAATGGATGATCATGATATTGAGAGTGCGGAAAGATGGTTTCGTAATGCAGTTGCATTGAAGGAGGATTTTAGATCTGCTCTCTTCAATTTAGCTCTATTACTTGCTGATGAACAGCGACCCCTCGAGGCAGCTCCATTCCTCAATCAACTGGTCAGATTTCATCCCGATCACATCAAAGGTCTCATTCTTCTCGGGGATATTTATATTAATAATATCAAAGATCTGGACGCAGCTGAAAATGTAAGTTACCTTATACTAATAAGAAATAATCTTAAAAATAGTAGTAATTTATTTTTACGAGTGAAAGAATAAAATATCTAAACGTAAATCGTAAGCTTTTAAATCAGAGAGAAAAGGACAGAAGATATTTCTATCCTTTTCTCTCTCAAGTAAAAGTTTACGATTTATGATTAATATATTTCGTTGTGCGTTGGCAATTGATACAGGTAACTGCTTATATGCTCGTCCTTCCTACAATTATGTTATTAGTTCGTGACAAATCTATTTATAATAATATTAGTCATGTAGGTCATGAATTAGTAATATTGTAATATAGAAATTCAACGGTTTTCAAAAAAAGGTGTGCAGACCGGAAGAACGGCATTACTGCAGTTACCTGTATTTCAATGATGTCATGGTTGGGTACGCATTAATCGAAAAATCTGCAAGGATGGGAAGGTAGCTTACTTCATGTTAATATGAGAGAGCATCGAGTATGCTACCTTCCCAACCCTGCATTTTCTATTCAATCAGAACAAAGGACAAGTAAATACAGAAAAAAGAGATAATTTAAGGTATAGGAATGAGAGGTATCAGGTATAGGGATGAGAAAGTTTAAGAATGATTGGAAAAAAAGGAGATGAGTTCTGTTAATTGTCAGATTAGTTTCAATATAACCGAAGATAGGTTATTGATATAGAAAATTTAAAAGAGATAGGCGAAAGGGATTATTAATATTAGATTAAGGTATAAGGATGAGAAGGTTTAAGAATGACTGGAAAAAAAAGAAAAAGTGTACGAGTTCTACTTCCTGGAGGAAAACAACAGAAGAAGGTTGAATATAAAAAAAGGAATGGAAGCAGTGGTAGGTAAGTTTTGAGGTTAGGAATGAGAAGATTTAAGAATGACTGAAAATGGAAAGAAATCTACGACTTCTACTACCTGGAGCATTCGTCTTAAACTAACAGAAGAAGATTGAATATAAAAAGAAGAATGAAAGCATTATTAGGTGAGTTTTAAGGTTAGGAATGAGAAGGTTTAAGAATGATTGGAAATATAAAAAGAAGAATGAAAGCAGTGGTAGGTAAGTTTTGAGGTTAGGAATGAGAAGGTTTAAGAATGACTGTAAAAGAAGAGTAGAGATATTTCGTGGACACTTAGGTTATGAAGTATCCGAACATCTGTTTTATTTTTCCTCATAAAAAATATTTATCTTACATATTTTAATTGCATCACAAAGAATAATTTCGATTAAAATCCATAAAATTTCAGTGTTATCGAAGAATTCTTCAACTCGATCCATCCAATATTCAGGGTCTCCACAATCTCTGTGTGGTAATGGTGGAACGCGGTAAATTGGGACTAGCCGCTCAATGTTTAGAACGTGCGGCAATAATTGCCCCACAACAGGACTACGTACATCGGCATTTGGCAATTGTTAAATCACGAATTGATCGTCTACCACCAGAGCAACGTGAAAATCAAAAACCCGAAGAATCCTTTTGGGAAGGTATCACATTCGATGAGAATGTCGAGGATCCACCTGTTGAGCCATTCCTCGAGAAAAGTGATTCCGTCTTTATGAGCCGTTCAAATATTCATCATCGTAATTCCGAGACAACAAATAAACGTGGCGTTAAGAATATAAAAAATCAATCAACAAAATCATCGCAAAGACACAATGACGAGACAAAAAATGAAAGTACCGAACGAATGACTAAATCCCCAAATTCCAATCCTGGAGTTTTAAATGATATTTTAAATAATAATGATCTCAAAAAATTGGATATTACACGAGTGCATGGTAATAAAGCGAATGAGCAATTCAATCACACTGCAACAAATTCTCATTCACAAAAGAAAGTCAGTGCATTTTCTTAGTTTAATAAAAAAAAAAAAAGAAAGAAAAAATAAACAAAGAAAATTAACCCGCCGAATGTAATGTATAATGTTAATTAAATGTATCTATCGCGTCGAGGGTTATGATATACTTATTTATAATAGCTCCCATGTGTGAATACTAAATGAAATACAGAGTATTGTTTTATATGCTGTATAAAATAGGACGTTTTATAAAATATGTTTAAAACAAATTTATTTTGGCTATTTTTATTCTTTCCCCCACGAATATTTCCGTACTTTCTTTTTTTATTTAATTTACGACTACAATTTTCTATGCTTATAATTTGCATTTTCATTGATTTGAAGGGTTCATTGACCTCAATGAGATAATCATCTGTCTATTTCGTATAAAATCTACAGCAATCAATATATTATGTATTTAAATAAAAGCGAGGGTTGTATTACGTAATATAAGATTTTCACATAAAAAAAGTACTAAAAAAGTTTTACTATAGTTTTATTGTTTAGAATAATTTGCCGATTATAATTTTTTATGTTAATTGCCGTCTACCACGAAAGTTCTTGTCTTTATCTTTTTTCTCATATTCATTCTTATAAATTTTCATTCATAAAAATACCCTTTTTAGATTGTATATTTCATTGTTTCATTTTAATTCGAATTTCTGAAATTTTATATATATATATATAGGTAATATTTTTTTTTTTTAAATTGTTCCGTTTATAAATAAATAATTAAATTCTGGTAAAAATTATAATCTAATTTACGCATAAAGTCCAAATTATCCCTTAAAAAGTCAAATCACCCTGGTATTGAGCAATATGTTTAAAATTATTTTAAATAATTTAGGTAAACGTGTAGCATTTTAATTTACAAGTGTATTCTGTGGTATATTTTACCCCATTTAGTATATTTCAACCAAGTGGGGTAATCTATTTTATATGAGTCATATTGCCCATTTCAAATGGAATTTTATGGGTCATATTACCCCAATGGAGTTAAACAATGAAAATAATAACAATAAAAATAGTAGTAATAATTAAATAACAATAATAATAGTGGTAATAATTAAATAACAATAATAAAAAAATAATAATAATAATATTAATAATAATAATAGTAGTAATAATTAAATAATAATAATAAATATAATTTAAATAATATGCAAATAAGTTTACGTGTAACATTTTACCCCATGAGGAAGTCGTTTTACCCCATATTTTTGTGTCATATTACCCCACTTGCTTAAAATAGTTTCTTACAACAAATATGAAAAGAAAACAAAAGTGCATCGCATATATGTTTACATGCAAAAACGTCAAACTGAATTAATTTCAAAAATATTGGGACAAATATTTACGTCACGAGTGTAAATTAATTACAGTGCTTGAAGGACAAGATAAAATTGGATGCATTGTATACTAAAAATATCCAACCCTGATTATTATTATCATTATTATTTTATATTTAATTAAAATTATAAAAAAATTAGTAATAATTTAAACAAAAATAATAATTTGTTACTGTTTTTGCTATTTTATTATTATTATTATTATTTTTATAATTTTTATTATGTTTTCATTCATTAAACGATTTTTTATGAATTTTTATTTATTTATATATAATTATATTTTTTTTTCTTTTTTCTAATATACAATAATTTTTCGAAAAGTGCAAAAAAATGAAAATGAAAATTGATGATAAAGAGTTCCGGGATGGATGATAAATGAATATATATATATATATACATATATATACAGTTTAAAATTATATCCTTGGTTTTGTGGGGTAGATGATATCTTTTGAAATATATATATATATATATATATATATATATATATATATATATATTATTAGCGCGAAGGTATATCCCACACAGCACCGAAACTTTCCTAAAAATTTATTAAAGATTTACTTGCAAACTTCGAAGTATTTACTTGAAAAGTTTAGTGAAAATTTTGTAAAGATTTAAATGTCCCACTTCAATAAATGTTTAGCGTGAAACTTTCCTGAAAATTTAAAAAAAAATTTCGCCTACTGTATATAGGCGAAAATTTAATTTAAATTTTCAGGAAAGTTTTAAGTTACATTTTCGCTTATAAGAAAGAAGTCGAAAATTTAATTTAAATGTTCAGGAAAGTTTTAAGTTAAATTTTTAGGAAAATTTGACTATAAACATTTATTTAAGTGGGACATTTGAATCTTTACACAATTTCCACTAAACTTTGCAAGTAAATTTTTCGAAGTTTGCAAGTAAATCTTTAATAAATTTTCAGGAAAGTTTTGGTGCTGTGTGGGTATATAATAATGAATATCGTACGGTCGACTGGACTTATAACCATCCCTCCTTTTTTTTGTTCTTAGTATATAACATTAGCCATGCAACACTTTTAAATCGACTTGACATTAACTTGAGTAAAATGTTTAATGAACACGTCTTAGCTGCTCAACATTAACCCCCATCTTCTTCAGGTTTAAAAGGGCGAAGACCAACTATTCCTTCGGCACAAGTCCTTCGTTCATTCAACGGTTATAATCTCAGTTACGCAACAGTAAGTCGATATATTATAGATTACACACACTAATTTCATTTTCATTTTTTTTCATTAAGTACTTTCTTTTCTATAATAGATCACGTTTGTTTAATTTTTTATTTTGACATACAGAACTAAAAAATTTGTTATAAAGAAAAATTCTTTGATTCGAATATAATCCATTACTTGTCAATGATCAAATGTTTACTACTTGAATCATATAAATATTTACCTGGATCAAATAAATGTTTACCTGGATCAAATAAATGTTTACTTGAAACAAATAAATGTTTACTTGAATCAGATAAATATTTACTTCAACTAAATAAATGTTTATACTTAAAGCAATAAATATTTACTTGAATTAAATGCAAATTTACTTGAATCTGATAAATATTTACTTGAATCAACTAAATACTCACTTGAATGAAATAAATGTTTACTTGAATCAGATAAATATTTACTTCAATTAAATAAATGTTTATATTTAAAGCAATAAATATTTACTTGAATTAAATACAAATTTACTTGAACCTGATAAATATTTACTTGAATCAAATAAATATTTACTTCAATTAAATAACTATGTTTATACTTAAAGCAGTAAATATTTAATTGAATTAAATACATATTTATACTTGAGAAATTTAAATCTCGATAAAACAAATTTTTTTGGCAATTTTTCGTTGTTGTAAATTTAAGCGCATAATTTAAAATCAAAATAATTTTCTTTTCAGCACAACAAAATAAGAAGACAAAAAGCTGGATTTCTTTATCCCATAGTTTGTCTTCCGATTTCTAGGTAAATAATACATTATATATTTATTGTAATTTTCCCAAAAAAATTATTTAATAAAATAATTTGCATTTCAATATTTAAAATATAAAATTTATAAAAATTATCAGAATTTAATAATTAAAATAATTTATCCCGGTTTATTTAAAAAAAAATTAATAAAATAAGTAAATATTACAATTTAAAATAAATAAATATTCTATTTCTTTAAGATTTAATTTTTAGTAAATACTAATCTTATTGTTTAAATAAAAAAAATTTACATTTAAATAATTTTGAAAACATTAATGAAGAATGAAAATAATTATTTTATCGACACGTTCAACTTTTGTGTTGAAAGTTTTTCATCGATAAATGCACAGATGTCGTGAGTGCTTCGTTTAATAATGGAAACAGTTTTTTTAAAATAAATTCTTAACATTTAACTTAAAATAAAGACTTACAGGGTGAAATATTTATCGATTTATTGATCAATATTTTATACCTGCAAGGCAATTGATTTACATGCATATATTTACGTTTATGTTTATTTGTGAAGTATATATATATATAGTAATTAAATATTGATTTTTTTCTTGTAGTAATTTTTTTGCACTTTACAAAAAAGGAAAAGACTTGCAATTTTACAAAAGTATGTCATGGGAAAAAATATAAATTTTTTAAACTTCGAGAAAAAAAGAACTTTTACTTTGAATCAGAATTTAAAATTTAAAATTATATAATATATTATGTTATTTTATATATTATATTATATTATTATATATATTATATATTATATAATATATTATATTACCTTTTTAATTGTATTATTTTATATCATATTATTTTTTCTGTTTTCAACTTTTAATTTAATAACTTTATAATAATAATAATTATGTATCTTATAATTAAAATTTTATATCATAAATTATTTAAGGGGTCGTTCACAAACTATGTCACAAAAAATTATTACATACCTATTATTATTAAAAAATTAAAATTGTTATTATTAACAAATAATTAAAATTTTTTTAATTTTCTTAAGGGCATTTGAATTATTATGATGTCACAGTTTGGGCAGAGCATGTGTTCTAAAACAGTGACGTCATAATTGCTTCAAAACCCCTTAAGAAATTTATATACAGAGAAATTTTCTTCATAAATATACAATGACATTTTATAACAAAATTTATGTAAAATTTGTCAGAAAGCAATTGAGTATTGACATAAAAAAGAAAATTTTTTTTTTTATTTTTTACCTTGTCAGAAAATGTTTTTGAATTATAAGACGAAAATTTTTGTCATCCTCTAGAGTGAACGAGTAATTTATATATTACAACCCCTTAATATGCACTTACAATTTTTTTTATTGAATTGTCACTTGAAAAAAGAGGTTTTAACCCTACTATATCTATATATACAGTTAAATTAAACAATCATTCATTCAAAATTCTATAATTATATATGCTATGTATAATACATTTTAGAAAATTCGTTTAATATATTTTTTGTATTGATTTTATTTTGCCTTTCAATCAACAAAATTAAATAAATTATCAATTAATATGTTCATTATTATATTATTATTATTATTATTATTATTTTTTTTTTTTTTTTTTTTTTTTTTTTACAAAACAAGTTTAGGAGAGGAAAAAATGATTTTATTATTATTATTATTATTATTATTGTATTATAATAAAATATAACAAATGCAAGTAACAATAATAAGATTTTTTTTAATAATTACATAGTGGCATTGAACATAAATTATTAATTTATTATTAGAATCAGATTTGTTGAGAAAAAAGTGTCATTTGTTATAAAATGTCAAAGTTGAATTATAATTTATAAACTTGTTGTTGCCTGCCTGATAAATTTTAATTATTGATAAATTTCATTGACTATTGATTCATCTTCATTAGACATCAAATATATATATAAACAAATTTTATAAACAAAATTCAATAAACAAATCACTTGTAATTGTTTAAGGAAATGAACATTTCGAGGATTTAATTATATACAAAAGAATAAGAGGGGAAAGAATTTTCACAAAAATTAAATAAAAAAAATTAATATAGTAATTACAAATTTGTTACATCAATTATATATTATTTATAAATTTGTTAAATTGATCATAAATTAATGTAGTTGATTAAACAAATTTCATAGTTAATACGCAAAAAGTAATTTTTTTTTTTAATTTAAAGAACATTTTGAAGAGATAATAAAAAAAATTTAGAAAAATTTTACAAATGGAATATTTTTGCGCCTCGTGTCAATATTAAATGATAAAATTTACAATTTTCTCTTATACAGAGAGAGAGAGAGAGAGAGAGAGAGAGAGAGAGAGAGAGAGAGAGAGAGAGAGAGAGAGAGAGAGAAAAACTCCGTCGCAAAAAATTTATATCGTTATAACGAGAGATGATGATGAGTGCGAGCTCGTAAAAAATGAAATCATCTCCTTTCTCATGAGAGATTATTTAATACACAATTCCTCTATTAGCAATTATTATATTTATTCGTACAAGAGGGAAATTTTCTCTTTTCATGATTTCAGTTTTTCTATAAATGTGCATCGCTCAGTGTTTGGCCGGTCTTCGGCCTTTACACAAAGGCTCAGGCCTCGAGACTTCGAGTCTCGATGCTGCGGATGCTGGACCCATTTCTTTTTTTTTAATTAGTAACAAATTTTTTTTTCTTTGCTCTTATAATTGTTTTTTTCTTCATAAAAAGATATTCGTCAAAAAATATTTAAAAAAAAAAAAAAAAAAAAAAATTTACTACGTTATAATAAATAATAAATTTAATAATAAATAATTATATAATATGAATTTTAATAATAATCATTCTATTATTATTAATATTCATATTATATTATTATCAGTATTTATATTATATTATACATAATATTATATATTTTTTATTATTAATTCAGATTATTAAATTTGCTCGGAAAATTTCCCAAAAAAAGAGGATAATTTTTTTAAATTGCTTTTCATTATAAAAAAAATTATTCGTCGAAAAAACAGAGAGACAGTTGAGAAAAAATTATTTTTTGACAACTTGGAAGATCAGTATAAATGTGTACCAGAAGAGAAAAAATTTTTTTCAAAAGTCTTGAAGAATATCTGATGAAAAAAAAAGTTTTTAAACACTTTTTTGGGACGATTGAAGAAACAATCGGTCCACGGCATCCAAATTGTTATACACTTGCCTTTTAAAGTTTTTAAAAATAAAATATTTTTTTTTGTTGAAAAATTTTTTTTTTGAATTTTTTTTTAAAATTGTTTATAATATTACGTGCGTGGCTGTGATATTTCAAAGTGATAATTAGCTACTAATTTTTTGGTCAATTTGCTACGTTAATCTGTGTGAAAGAGGGTGAGTTTTCTTTTTTTTTATAAAAAAAAAAATGATTCACTAGTTTGTCTTTTTTTCAATTTTGAAATATTAAGATAAATAATTGTAAACAAATTTATTAAAATTGTTTTCTTTTTTAAATTGAAATTTTGAAAATTTATTATATTTTATAATATTTCAAACTTTTATTATTATTTTTAATAAAAAAAATTTTATTTTTATTTCAAATTTTCAAAATTTTTTTTACTTCAAAATTTCAAATTGATTTAAAAATAATAGTGAATAAGAAGTTGTTTTTTCAATAAACAACGATTGGTAAATTTCAAAAATAGAATAATTTTTTTCGTAATGTAAATTAAATCCAACTTTTCTTTTAGAGAGTTGGAACAACATTTTCATATATAGAGACAAGGAACATTTTTTTGGAAATTCTTCAAAAACTGCACCACAAAAGTACAAAACTGGTGAGAGATAAATATTTAAAAATCGTTTAAAAAAGAATTAATAAAAATTTTTTTTTTATACTTTTTGAAGTATTTTTTTATTTCTTAAATAATTTAAAATAGTTTTTCTAAACAATTAAGCAATTATTTAATTATATTTCTTCTATAATTTCGTCGTACAATTAAAAATAAATTTGTTTTTCAATATTAAAAATAATATACTTCTAATATTTTTAATACTTTTGATTTATATTTTTAATATTTTTGATATTTTTAATTTTGAAAAAATTTTTTTTCATAAAAACATTTTATTTTAAGGATATTTGAACCATTATGGCGTCACAGCTTTAAAATACATGCTTTGCACAAACTGTGACGTCATAATGGTTCAAATTGCCCTTAAAAAAGGAAATATCAGCGAATAGAAATTAATTTTTTTTTAAATTAATGGAGAATAAAAAAATATTCAAGTAAAAAATATTATAAAATTCTATATAGAATTTTCTGACATTCTTATTAAAAATTTAAAAAGGAAATGATAGAATTATAGAGAAAGTAAATTAATCATTTTGCTCAATAAATTGCCATAGATTTGCTTTTTAATAATTAAAATCTATATACATAATAATGAGAAAACTGGAACATCGACAAAAAAAAAATTCTAATCATCTTTGTACCACTTAAGAGCTGCCACAAGATCGATATTAATATTACAAATATAATGCAAAGTGCTTTATATTGAATAAAAGAAAAAAAAGTATACTGAATCAGAGATATCTCTTAAAAATTACAATAGAAACTTTATAAATGACAATCAATCAATGTCAATAACAAAAAATTTATTTCTCTTTCAAAGCGGTTTTTCCTTATTTTTGATTTTTAATAGTTTTTTTATTTACTCAAAAAATCTTCTATTAGAAAAATTTCAATTTTGTGTGTTTTAAAAGACACTACTAAAACAATAATTGAAAGAATTTTTTCATCCTCCGTGAATCTAGAAAGAAAAAAATATTTATTTGACCTTTCGCAATAACAGCTTTGGTATTTTAACTGGAGGATGTAATTTAACAATTATTGTTTCAAAAAAAAAACTAATTCACTTCCTCGTTGAATTTTACGTTCTTGAGAAACGAAAAAAATTCTGTTATTAAAAGAAAAATTTAGGTCAATGTTAATTGGCAAAAGTAGTTCATTTACTGTCAACATTACAAATTTATTAAATTTGTTTTATTTATTTTTTAAAAAGTTAAATTTAATAATTTAAGAAAAATTTATATTTTATTTGTTTAAATTAATAATATAATTATACAATATTAATATAATTATTATTAATTATATTATTAATATTAATTAATTAATATTATTAATATTAATATGATATTATAATATTATATATTAATAATAATATAATTTTTATTATGAAATAAGAAAATTTAATTCTATTAGCGTGAATGAGAAAAGAAAGAAACATCACTATGGAAAATAGTGAAAAAACTGCGCGCGCAACAGTCGAGGGGTGGGGATAAAACAACGTGATTGGTTAAGCAAGGGATAGAAAAGAAAACAAGTATATCACTCTCCTTTCCTACCCCATGAATTTTGTTCATAAACGATGTTGAGGAATTCCATTTATATTTGGAACTTAATTCTAATTCGGTATCGATAATAAAAAATTAAAATAGTTTATTTAAAAAATAAAATAAATTTATTTCACTTTTATGATACTTTTTTTTTTAATTAACCATAATAATATAAATATACTTATTTTTAAATAATAACATTTTTTGTATTTTCTTCTTCATTTTTTTTTACATTTTTACATTTGCCGCCTAAATTATAGAATATCTTTAATTTTCTCAACAGTATTCAGAGTACTCATAATGTGTACAACCTTGTCTGCAACATGGATGTATGCTATCAATAAGGAATTCTTTGTATTTTAAGTAATTATCAGTTCCACCGCAAATAATTTCTAGCATATCTAATATATTCCTCCCACAAATTTTAGCAATCGTCCGATATCCAAAGGATATTGTGAATGAAGAAGTCAAAATTATGGCAAAAAATGCAAATGCAAAAATTGTTTTTGTTCTTTGGTAACTCATCTGAAAAAACGAAAAAAATTAATACAGATACATTCAAAATTTTGTTCGGTAATAAAATTTTCAATTTCTCTTAGATTAATTTAAAAAAAAAAGTAAGAAAAATAAATAAATTTAATTTTTATTAATTGTGTTCTTTATTTACTTTTGTTTTCAAATATAAAAATTTTATTGAATTAGCGACAGTAAAGTTAGAGACGAGCGTCATTATTTGTTATTATTGGAAAAAGAGATGGTAAAAACGGCGCGCAGAATAGTTCTCGGAATCGCTATCCCTACTCTACTAAGTGTTGCGCGCGCAAGTCTTCTTCAAGACCGAATAACGCTACTCACTCTTTTTAACATTTATACCCCTCTAATAATGAATACTTTACACAATATAAAATTTATAAATAATTAATTTTTATAAATAATATCTATACATAAAAAAGACTATTTCAATTTATAAAATTATATAATATTTGAAAAAAATACTATGATCAACAACATAAAATTATTTTTATTTTCACATTATTTTAGACTAATTAATAGATTCAACTATTATGATATTCTATATATTGTTTGTTAAATTCTAATTAAATAATATAATTTAATAATACTTTCTATATGAAGTTTGTAATCTTTTAAAAAAATTTTTAAATTAATAAAACTTACCTTTTGATATAATAAAATGTGTAAAATTAGTTGATTATACTTTTTTCATGTAACTAAATTCTCTATTGATTGCTATTTTGTCTTTGGATCAAAAAAATGGTTCGTCGTTTATTAAATACACCAACATGAATGCATTTATTTATTTAATTGATAAGTTAAGAATAGTACCTAATTTATATATTAATAATATATAATGCGCAACATGAATAAATTTTTGCGCAATGTATAAACAGATTGTAAACACTAAAATTAGTTTAAAATTGAATTTTAATTTCTAATTAGATTTACATTAATGAAATACAATGAAAAAAATTATGAAATTGAATATTTATTTTATTCTTATAGATATTTGTTAAACATTCTAAAGTTCTTTTACTAATGTATTTGAATTGTTAGCGATAGTTTTCTACATTATTCTTTAAATTTAAAAATAAAATTTCTTACAATATTGTAATATTGTAAGAAACTTTTTTTTTAAATTTATATAATTTTTCAATTATTACTTATTATTAATTACTGCTTCTTATTAATGCAAGCAAACTTTTAAATTATTATTATTATTAAATTATTATTATTATTAATATTATTATTATTGTATAAGTATGAATTCCTATATATTATTATTATTATTCACTATCAGCTAAATAATTTACAGGTTTATTGTTCCTATTTATTTTAAAAGTATAGGTTTCTAATTGTTATTTATTAATAATTATTACTTTTTATTAGTGCAAGTAACTATTGAATTAAATTATTAATTTTAATATTCTTTATTTATTTAAATTATTTACATCTTTTTTACTCATTTTAGAATTTAAAAATTGAGTCCTTGAAAAGTTAGCGTCGACTTTGATCGTCAGAAATAAATTTTTTTTTGGCAAAATCGAAAAGAATTAGAATTTTAATTTTTAATTTAACGACATCGTGACGTTTTTTTCGGTTACAATTAAAAAAAAAGAAATTTTCAATAAATTATAAAGGAATATAGTGTATTTTGTACTTGAATGTTTGGGTAGAAAAAAACGCAAATGTGTAAAGAAGGCAAAAAGAGTGGGGATAGCGATTCAAATAACCAATCATCACGCAAAGAGTGGAGGGGCAAATGCGCCAGTGATTGGCTACCCCCACTCTTCGCGCATCGCAATTTTCCCAGAATTATCAAGGCCCTATTCCCAGAAAACTTTATTTTATCTATCACAAAATATTTAGAAAAAAATTCTTCTTCATTGATATCTTTTATGGCCTAATTTTTTTCATGTCTTAATCACAATATGAATTATGAAATTTTTTAAAATTAAAAATATAACATCGAGAGTAAAAATTTTCATCTTCTGAGTAAATTGAAAGCAAACGGAAAACTTAATATCAATGATGCATATTAAACTTGAGGCTAATGTATTTCGAGTGATAAAAGTTTTTATTTATAATTATAAATGGATAAGGAAATGAAAAAGTCGAATAATCCTCTCACTCATTAAGCACTGTTGCCAGGAAAGTGCACTCACATCGCAAGAAAAACCTCGCCAGTGTCCCTTATATCAAAGTAATTAAATTATTCTTTTTTTTAATTATAATTTGATAGTCTCGGATCAAGTGGAGCTTTTTATAAGTTTCTTTTTTATTTATTTTTACAAAAAATATTTTTATTATAGTAATAGTGTTATTGTATATAAAAATAAAGTTTTGTAGAGGGGGGAGGGGGTGGAAAGCAACAATGACCTCCTCCACGGAAAACCAAGACTTCAGTGGAGGGAAATAATGAGGTAGTGTCGAGGGAAACAATGGATCATCAAAAGTGATGATTGGAGCGTCACTATTTTTAGATATCATTCTTCTAAATATAAATATTGCAAAGGAGTAAATTTCTCTCCAATATAGTTCTTACTATTGCTCTAGGCACATATAATATAAAATTTTAATGCGAGGAAAATTTGCATCTGCTTTGTCTCCAAAAGAATGAACTTTTGTTTACATTGAGATTTTATTTGAAAAGTTGCGGATAGTTTTTAAATACAAAATTTAAATATATATTAATTAAAAAAAATTATTTCATAAAAAATTTGCATCTGCTTTGTCTCCAAAAGAATGAACTTTTGTTTACATTGAGATTTTATTTAAAAAGTTGCGGATAGTTTTTAAATACAAAATTTAAATATATTAATTAAAAAAAATTATTTCTTAAAAAATTTGCATCTGCTTTGTCTCCAAAAGAATGAACTTTTGTTTACATTGAGATTTTATTTAAAAAGTTGCTGATAGTTTTTAAATACAAAATTTAAATATATTAATTAAAAAAAATTATTTTTTAAAAAATATGAAATTTTCAGGGTTCGAACCAGTGAAAGTTCTTCTTTAAATCAATAATTTTTAATATTTTTCGAAAAAGTTCTTTGACAATTTTCAAAAATCCATCTGTTTACAATTCAATTTTACGAAATTTTAATTATTCGAAAATTCTTCAATTAAGGGGATTTGAACCTTGATGACGTCACAGTTTGTGCAAAGCATTAGTTTTAAATCTGTGACGTCATCATGGTTCAAATGCCCTTAAATACCTATACCTATATTAGAAAATAACAACTTCAAAAAATTTCAAAAACAATTCAATTAAACCTTTTGAAAAAAATTAATTTCACATAATTGTTAGTTAAAAATATAAAAAATTTAGATTTTCAAAGATTTTAATTTGAAACTTATTTAGAATTCAATTATTTCTAAAAATTCTATGCTATAATGCTTTTAATATTCGATTATTATCTATAAAATTTTAACTAAAATTCATTTTTAAATCAATTTTTATTAAAAAAATTCAACGGAATTCAATTATTTAAGTACAAAAATTAATAACTTATTGAATAATTGAATGTTTCTTTAAATTAAATTCTCATAAAGAATTTTATCAACAAATTTTTAAGAATAATTAAATTTTTCGAGGAATTCGATTAAAATTGTACGTATGTATTAAAAATAATTGGAATTCTGCCAATGAGTTTTATTATTTACGAAAATAATTGAAATTTTCGCAAAAATTTTATCAAAATTTTTTAAAATAATTAAATTGATAGGAAGGACTTTATAAAAATCATTTTAAATAATTGATTTTTTTCGAAAAATTTTTATGAAAATTGTGTTTGAAAAGAATTAAATTCTTGTGAAAATTTGATTATTTATGAAAATAATAGAATTGTTGCAAAAAAAATTTGCAAATCATTGAATTTATGAAAAGATTTTTATCAAAAAATTTGATAATAGTTTAATTTCTTCGAAGAATTTTATTATTTATGTATATAATTGAATTTTTGGGAAAATTTTATTAAAATTTTTGAAAATTCTAATTTAATTCATTTGAAGAATATTTTTGAATTTTTTTTTTTTAAATGGAGTTTCTTTAATAATTTTAATTGAAAATTTTGAAAGAAATTGAATTTTATATGAACAATTATTTCTTTCAAGTTTTTATAAAATAATCGTGTTTCTTAATAATTGAAATTAAACATTTAATTCTTGAATTTTATTTAAATGTTTAGAAAATAATTGAATTCTTTCGAAAAATTTCTTTAATTTATTGAATACAATCGAATTTTTTTAATGATTGTATTGAAAATAATTGAATTCCTGAAAAGAATTTTATTATTTATGGAAAATAATTGAAAATTGTTTTTGTATCGAAAGGATTTATTAACGTTTTAGAAAATAATTGAACTATTTCGAAAAATGTTATTAAAAACTTTTTTATAAATATAATATATTAAATTATTAAAATTTTTGAAAATAATTGAATTTCAGAGAAGAATTTAATTATTTCTAAAGATAATTGGAATTTTAATAAGAATTGAGGGTCCCAATCAAAGAACCGGTTATACGTTTTTGAGACTCAAAATTCTCGACTTCTAAATAAAAAAAGAATTTAAAATTTTAATTTCTTGAAAACATTTTGTATTGGTATAAAGATTACCAAAATGTTTCTTAAAACATTGAGATTAAAAACAGTTTATTTTTTTATTTACAGGGCAATAATTTCGAGCTTAAAAAAATTATAACCGGTTCTTTGATTGGGACCCTCAATTTTAAAAAATTTTTTACCATGATTGAATTTTTGCAAAAAAATTTTATTACTTTTGAAAATAATTGAATTTTTGCAAGTATTTGGAACTTTTCAAAAATTCTCCAAATTATATTGTTAAATTTACAAACTTTTATTGCTTTTTCAATCGAATTGCGGAATTTTTTTTAAAAGCAGGACACCATATAATAATATGTATAAACTTATTTTTAAATTGAACACTAACATTTTTTGGCTTTTTATTTTTTTTTCTACATTTTTACATAAAATATATTATACATTTAATTTTCTCAACAGTAAACAAGGTATTCCAAATGTGTACAACCTTTTTTGCAACATGGATGTTTAACATCTTCAAGCTCGACTTTGTTGTCTAAGTATTTAATACTATAACCGCAAATAATTTGTAGTACATCTAACATATTCATTCCACAAGATTTAGCAGCGTTCGGAAATCCAAAGGATATTTTGAATGAAGAAGTCAAAAATATCGCAAAAAGTGCGAATGCAAAAATTGTTTTTGTTCTTTGGTAACTCATCTAAAAAAAAGCGAAAAAAATTAAAACACACGGTCTAAATTTTTCTTTAATAAAATTTCATCTATTTCTATAAAATAAAATAGTAAACAATTTTATAAATTATACGATAAATAAACAATGTATAAATTTTTTATTATTGTTATTGATGAAAAAATTTAAGTGTAATTCTTTCTCTTAATCATTTTTAACTTTTATGTTTTTTATCTGTTTTGAAAGTTTTTCACGTTTTATGAATTTTATTTATTTTCAATCTCTTTTATAGATTTAATATTTTTTATTAATTATTATTAATTTCTATTTTACATTAATTTTATTAATTATGTTCACTTTGAGCGTTATTTATTTACTTTTTCAAATATAAAATTTTATTGAATTAGCAACAGTAAAGCTAGAGATGAGCATCTTTATTGGAGAAAAGGATGCGCGCGCAGAATATTTCTCGGAATCGCTATCCCCACTCTGCTAACTGTTGCGCGCGCAAGTCCTCTTCAAGGCCGAATAACGCTACTCACTCTTTTTAATATTTACCCCTTTAATAATTAATACTCTATACAATATAAAATTTATAAATAATATTTATACATAACAAAATAATTTCTATTTATAAATTTAAATAATATTTTAATAAAATACTCAACAACATATTATTTTTACATTATTTTTTTAATTCAATAAATTGCTTATAATGATTTCTAATCAGGTTTTTTTTAGAGTTAATCACTTTTCGATATCTACTATTCAATTATTATGAATTATATTCTATATTGTTTTTTAAAATTCTAATTAAATAGTAATTTAATAATAATTTCTATAATATTTGTAATTTTTTAAAATTATTAAAACTCACCTTATTTGATAGTGAAATGTGGAAAATTAGTTCCTTATACTTTTTTCGTATATTTTTCTTAATTTTTTCTTTTGATTACTCTTTTGTCTTTGAACGAAAATATGTTTCGTCGTTTTTTTAAATATACCATCATGAATGCATTTATTTATTTAATTGATAAGTTATGAATAGTAATTTATTGTATAAGGTATATGTACAGAGAACTATAATGCGTAACATGAATACATTTTTTCGCAAACATATGTTTTATAAACAGATCGCAAACACTAAAAGTATTATTATTTGAAATTCGAATTTCTAATTGTATTTATATTAATAAAATACAATAATGGAAAGTAATAAAATTGAATATTTTTTTCATATTTATAGATATTTGTTAAACAGTGGAATGTTTTTTTTTGTTACAAGTGTATTTAAATTGTTTGTGATAGTTTATACTACATTATTCTTTTATATAACATGTATGTAGGAAATTTTTTTTTAATTTATATAATTTTTCAAAATTTTATGAGAACAATTTGCATCTGCTTTTTTGTCTCTACAGGAATGAATTTTGTTCACATTGAGATTTTATTTGAAGAGATGCGAATATAGTTTTATTGTTCATTTTTAAAATGTTTCAGGGTGTTTTAACTCATTAAGCAATAAAGAAATTAAAAATTTGTTATTTTATAGATATTCATTTAGTATATATAGATATTTCTTTTATTGAAGATAGTCTTTGAAATTTACGTTTTTTTTAAAAAAAAGTTTTATATAATACAGTAAATTATGTATATCTTTTTATTTCAAACAATTTCAAATAAATGTTTATCTTTATGGAACAATATTAATTAATTTATCTAATGGAAAATTTTTTGTATGTCTGGAAAGATTTTTCTTGAAATTTTTTTTATATTTGATAAGAAAATATTTCAAAAATTAGATAATTTAAAAAAATTAATCTGATTATGTAAAAATTTGATTAAAAAATAATTAATTTGATATTGTAAATATTAAAAAAAAATTAATAGTTATTTGGTTATAAAATTAATTAATAATTGCATAACAGGCCTAATGAGAGGAGAAGGGGTAAATTAATATGATGACAATGCTTTACTGAATACAAAAAACCATTAGGTTAAGATATGAAAATAAATTCTTAAAATTGTAGAAAATTTTCAATTATAGAAATTATGTAAAAATAAAATTTTTAAAAATTAAATATTGCTTTTTATTTTGTTAATAGATGTCCACGCATCGGTTATACGTTCTAGTGACACTCGTGCTTGCTGCGTCGCTTATAATTCCGCAATTGGTTAAAGCTCAATTGGATCTCTTTCAACATGTTCAGAAACGATCAGGAATGAATAAACATTATTGTGGAAAACATCTTTCGAATGCTTTGCAACTCATGTGCAATGGTCAATATAATTCAATGTTTAAAAAGAGCGGTCAAGGTTTGTTCTACTTTTTTTTCTATTTCTATATTTTTGCTTTGTTCATCATCCCCACACTACACATAAATATGAAAAAATTTATCCCTTTCTACAGTATCATATTTAATTAACAATCAAACAAACAATTAACAGAAAATTTACAAAAGGTCAACTACTTATGTATTTCTGTAAATAAATTGGCCCTATTTCAAATCGATAAAATACCTCTTCCAGAAACGTCAATTAAAGCCTGAACTATGCAAAATATAAGAGGACAACATAATATTAATTTCTTGATAAACTTAAAAGAAAAAGAATTTTTCTTTAATGATATGACGTACATTACTGTCGAAGGTTGAACCAAATTTCAACGGTCTTAAACATTTCAATCAAAATTTACCAGAAGTAGTACTCTATCATTTGAACATTGATTCTCGCAATATGGTTTTGTGGATTTAACACGTTTTAATCATTACCTTAAAAATTACCACGTGACATTTAGTGATCAGCTATGGATGAATAAATACTTTGTCTTTCCGAAAATTGTCCTACGTTGTCCCACTGATTTCAAAGAAAGTCCTATATCAAATTCTATTAAAATTGATTATTAAAAATTGTTTCTAATCCAATAAGAATTTTTGATCAAAATGCTATCAAATCCTATATATCGAAAAATGATCGAAAGTTCTTTCCCATTGTATCCAATATTTTAAAGTAAATTCTATAAAATTCTGTCAAAATTGATTATTAAAAATTGTTTCCAATCGAATAAGATGTTTTGATTAAATCCTATCAAATCATATATATAAAAAAATGATCAAAAGTTCTTTCCTATTGTATCCAATGGTTGAAAGAAAATTCTATCAAATTTTATCAAAATTAATTATTAAAAATTGAATCCAATCCAATAAGATTTTTAATGAAAATTCGATGCTTTTCATATATCTTCATCGTTGTTGTTAAACTCTAAACATTCAAGATGATCCTTTTCTCCTGAATTATCTTCTAAATGATCTGTAATATTATCAACAAGTTGTAGATCATCTTGCAAATCTTCATCATTTAATTCTGTATTTAAATATTCTTCTCCGTAATCGCATTCTTTTCTTTATCTACAAAAGTATAATTATTTATTCAAACTTTTAGAAATTTCTTTTTTTAAAAACGCAATGAAAAATGTATGTTTACCTTCATTTCCTATTATATATTCTGTAATTTTTGAAGATTTTGTGAGACATATAATTTGAAACTTTTACTTTCTCCTGTAATATTTTCTTATTAAATATTTTCAAAATTAATCTTTTAATAACAATTTACTGCGATATGTTTTTTAATTATATTAAAAATTATAAAAATAATGTATTTAAATATATTTTCTAAACTTATTTCAATATACTATATATATAATCCTTTTTTTCATTTAAATTAAAAATGAGAAATTAATCGATAAAATGTTTAATAAAATTTTTGAATTATAATGTTTTATTTGATATTATTTTATAAATGATCTCCGTCCATAAGCGATTTACAAGAATTTAAAATACACACATACAATCAACATACACTAATACTATGTATACACACAGACGTAATAAAATTTGTAATAATAGTAATTAATCATCATAATAGTTATTAGGTTTTTTTTTATCATTAGAGTGAATTTTACTTGATAGGAGTTTTATAGATGTCAACTTACGATGTTTTAAATTTTGACATTATATCGTTGATCAGGCTGCAGGAGTTAATATGTATGTTCATCAGTTGTCCGCTTAATTAACACCTCAAAGATCGTGACACAATCGAGGGGATTGGAGATTACATTTTTCCTTATTTCGTAGAATTTACAAAAACAACACTGCAATAATTGTTTCAATGATGATACGAATATAAATTTTTTTTAAGTTTTCATACTTTTCTCTAACAAGTTTGATATGCAAATGAATGGAATTGACAAAATCTAAGGATCAAGCCCCTCTCTCCACAATTCCCACCTATCTTTATTATCAATCGCGAAGCAGTTGTGCTTAGGCATCAACTATCGTCGATTGTGGAAAAACCGTTAATTTAAATGCCAAAAGTAACCAAGGTTGGGTTGCTTTTTCAAATAACGGCCATTATACTGAACTTAGAAATTTATTAAATTCCTAAAAATTTTACTTATTTAAGAAATAAACGGGACGAGAGACAAGTTATTATCCATAATAACATTAAATTAATAATAAATTATTATTATTATATTAAGGTGATATATTATTATTAATTTTATAATAAAAATAATAATATATATAGGTATCTAACAAAAATATTTTCTTTTTTCTTCCACAGAAATGGAGATAGACGAGACGCCATTTGCCTATGATGAATTGTATCCATTCAGATCCAGACAAAGTGCAAACGCAATGATTGGTAGATTTGGCGGTGGTCGATTTAGAAGATATTCACGCGGTGTCCACGACGAGTGTTGCGCAAAACCATGTAGTCTCGAAGAATTAACCAGCTATTGTGGCCTTTAAGGCAAATTATATGTCATGTTCATTATTAATAATAACAACAATTCTTTCTATATATTAACTTCTTTCACTTCAAAAAAAAACTTCCAATTCGTGTTTCAAGATATGCACGATGATAAATTAATAAACTGCATAACGAGCATTGCCCGTATATTATGATATATATATATAAATAAATAGATCAAAATAAAACAAAGTCAAACTTATATCTATAATCGAGAGTAGGTATAAGACAAAAAGAACTAACTAAATATATTTAATAAACGTGTAGATAATATTAATATTCAATTTCTTTCTATACAACCCCACGAATAGAATAGAACAAATCTCAACCGCCATATTGGATCAACCATTTTGAGTTTTTTAAAATTGTTTAGTTCACATCAGACGATCGGTAATTTTAGAAAGAAAATTTTGTTCTAATCTTTCAAAATATGATTTCTTTTTATTTATTGTTTATTTCTATTTCCACTAAAAGAGTATTTTTATTCGTTATCTTTTATTCTAAAAATGTCTCTGTAGATAATTTTTTTTCTCTTCTAATATCTGTATAAATAAGGAAAAAAAAATATAAGAATTGTCTAACTTTATAAATGCCCTTGAATTAATGATTATAATTACTTATCAACAAAACGATAGAATCGCAAGTGTTCATCGTACTAGTAACGTGTCAAATCATGATACGCGCTCTGCACGAAAGGGACACATTTCATTTTTTACTCTTTTTTTTTTATTTTAACGAATATTCTCATGTAACGTTTATTTACACGTTAATAATCAACTATAAATTTTCTAAAAGAAAACACAATCATCCCGTGACCTTAGTTCCATTATAATATATTAGAATATAATTTTTCAACTTCAGTTTTCAAATTAAAAAAAAAAAATTTTAAATACATTAAATTACAATAGTTCGAAAAATGTAATTTTATTATTATTATTTTAAATTAATGCAACTTTATTTTCAATTGCAATATTAATTAATAACAATGAAAATTATGTGAATTAATAATCCAGACGCCTCGCCAGATGCGCTCAATTAATCATTTTAATTATTCTTTTTATTAATTTAATAATTTATACATACAATTAATATAATTTTGACTTAATTTTTTATTTTATTTATATTTAATATATTCATATAAATTATATTCGCATAAATTATTGTATAATAAATAAAATAATTAAAATAATTAATTATCTGATTTAATATATATAATATATATATTAAATCAGATAATTAATTATATAATTAATTAATTAATTAATTAATTATAATTAATTAATTATATTATAATTAATCATTATAGTTGTATTCGATCGAAAATCATTTTTGCTTTTATGTTTTCAGATTATAAATTAATATAAGAAATGATAAATTATAGTTTAATAATTTATGAAAATTGACATTTAAAATAAGTACATATTAAAGATTGCGTTATCCATTGGGCCATGGTCTCCCTTAATATATGTGTTATACAAATTATCTAATCTAAATTATTACTATTGCTTTTCAAATTATTGGTCTCATTTTCTAATAAGTGTGACAAAATATATGTCACAGCTTAATGTATAAATTTAAAATTATTATTTTTACTTTACTCAATTAATTCCATAATTATTTATATTGAAATATCATTTCACAGTACAATAAAAAACTTTTTTGAATGCACATTACAAATGAAAATAAATACAAATAGATAAAATAAAAATAATAATTTATTTTAAAAAATAATAGTTACATTAAAAAAGGACATAAATTTTGTTAATGTAATTTTTTTTCTCTTTTTTTGTTTGAAATTATATTCTTCATTGCAGAATCACCTTAAATTTAATTTTAAAGACTATGTTTAAAATACTTTTTCTAAGTCAGCAATCATTGTAGAATTACCCTAAATGATCTTAAAAATATTGAAGGTTATGTTCAAAAAACTTTTTGAATCATATTTTTTTCATTTTATTACATTTTATGTTTTTTTAGTGTCAATATGAATTCGCGACGCCTCAATAGATTCTTAACAAGAACAAAGGTCAAACGTGTAGACAAAAGAGTTACATTTTTTTTGCACGAGAAATACAACGCCAATACTCATAATGTTTTAACGAAATTAATTTTCTTGCTAAATAAATTTTTTCCTTCTTAATTTACTTTTGGAAAAAAATTTCTATATTATATTTTTGTGTTTTTTTTCTATGTCGTAGAATATTTTCTATTATAAAAGTAATTTAGTAAAATTAATAATTATTATTTATTAACAATAGTAGTGAAAAGCTAGTAAATTAATGATAATAGTCGCGTAATAATAGTACTGAAAATGTAGTCTGATTTTCTGGGAAATTGGATATGCAATTCTTGGAAAGATAAGGTACCTCTACACTTATTTATTGAAAGTTTAACGGTGCAATGACTGTAAAGCGTGTCTAGAGTGGAAAAAATAAGGGGAATCCCTTCTTCATATTCGCGATCCTCAAAGAAAAAAAATACTGTAAAGGTACTGCCACAGCTCGCTGCTGCCTGCGCAGGCAGCTGATATACAATGAGAGTGAGGGAGAAAAAGCATGAATTTGAATTTTCTTTCTCTCTTACTCTCATTGTATCTCAGCTCCCTGCTCAGGCAGCAGAGAGCTGTGGCAGTACCTTAACACCATTTTTTTTCAAACAAATAATATAAATCACAAGAAAAAAAATTAATTATTTAAATTACAAAACTAAATAATAATTCAATTAGTAAATAAAAATGTCAAATTTGCAAAAGTAGAAAATTAATGTACATGTATTTTTGTAATATATTAAATTTACAACTTTCTTTTTTTTATCTTCTCTATAAGGAAAATTAATTTCTATATATACATCATTAAATTATCATAAATTGCACTACGTCAATAAAATATTAAAAATAAATTATAAAATAATAAATTACACCATTTTTTTTGTTCTATCTAAATAAAATGTTATTAGAAATTCTAATTTAATGTAAAATATAATTTTATTTTCTGATATATATACATAAAGAGAAAAATTTATTTCTTGTGTTTATAATTTATTAGCACTTTAATGTGTAAATTATTTATAATATTTCGAAACTTAAGTAAATAAATTGTTTTTGAACTGGGTATTTAATAAGGCAACGAATTATTTTTTTCAATTCAAAGAAAAAAGAAGAATCACAAGAAGTTGTTATTAGGGACAAAACGAGAGGAAAAGGAAATAAATAAAAAGAATTTTCTAATTTATTATTAAAGGTAAGTTTTCTATTTTCTGTGTAAATTTTAAATCTTCATTTTCTTACATATTAAATTTTTATTATCAAAATTAAAAAATTTTAAAAACTTTTAAACATTTTTTTTTTATTCTAAATGCAAAACAATTTATTATTTGAAACTTTTTCACAAGTAAAATTATATTTAATTACATCTGAAACAGTCAAAAACGAAAAATAATAACAAAATTTATTGAATTTTTGGCACAAAATAACTAGAAAATAATTAATTAATTTTTTAGTCCGTTTTGTTATAAGATAAATTTTATTTTTGATTTCGTTTTCGGATTAAATGTCAAAGAAACTGATTCTTTCTGTAAAGTGAAGTGCGAGTGCAACAGGCACAGAAGAGTGGGGATAGCGGTACAAATAACCAATCACGTAAAAATACCCCCCCCCCCCTCAAATGTTGCGCGCGCACTTTATTTACGAATTCTCCCCAATAGTGATGCAATCACGTCATAATAAATATCTAAATTTGCATTTAAATTCAAAAATTTAATTTTTATTATAACACTAAAAATTATTCAATTTTTTTGTTTGCAGATGGGTTTCCAAAAATTATATTTTGTCCTAACATTTTTGCTTATTGCATTATTTTCGTTTATACAATTAACAGAAACGATTCCGGTAAAAGAGAAAATTTGTGGTAACCAACTTTTAGAGAGAATGAATTTTATTTGTTTCGGAATTGTTGAGAATGACGCAAATGAAGTAAAAGACTATGGTTAGTTTCAAAAAAAAAAATAATCTTAATTTCAAAATTATACATTATTTATTTATTATAAATAATATATTTATTAATATTTATAATTATATTAATTATACAGATACATATTATATTATACATATATGTGACACGCTTACAATAAAGATATCTAAAAAGCTAAAAATTTTAGGTTATGTTTATAATTTTTTTTAGTAGAAATATAGAAAGATAATTAATTACTATTAAAAATTATTGATGTTCAAGTCTTCATTACATCTAAAATTTTCAATAGAAACTGCTTTCAAAATTTATTTAATTAAATGAGAAATTTTTATTAAGATAAATCTAACACAAACATAACCTATAAAAGTACCTTTCTTGGGAGCGCGTCACTAGGTGGCTATAAAAATGTTAAAAAGAATTTCTAATATTAATCAAATTATTTCTTTTCGATTGACTATATTGTAATAATAATAAAAATAATAAGAATAATTTTATTCTTAAATTCTAGAGACAAAAGGACCGAATAGAATTTCAAAGAGACATACAATTGATAGTATAACGAAGTGTTGCCTTGATCGTTGTTCATACGAAGAACTAAAGGATTTTTGTCCCTAAAATACAAATATAGTTAAATTAATTAATTTTTGTCTACCGTTTTTTAATAAATAATTTAGTTAATAATATTATGTATTTAATGAAATTGTTTCCAATTTTTGTAAATTGTGTACAAATAAAATAAAATTGTGTTTATAAATAAAAAATTGAAAAAGATATTATAAGAAAATTAAGGTACCTCTGCACGTTTCTGAAAGTGTAATGCGCAAAGAGTGGGGAAAAGAATCTTGAATGCCTTTTCTTCAGTAATTCTTAGTAGAAAATAAATAAATATTAGTAAATAAATAATCAGAAAAGAAGCAATTAGTAAAAAATAATTAATCATCAGTAGAAAATAACTAATGATTAGTAAATAAATCATTAGAAAAGTAACTAATAAATACATTATTCTTAATTATTTAAAATTTAATGAGTTCGTCTACATCAATAATTATAATAATTTAATTCTTTAAATTATTACAATATTTTTTTAAATATAGAAAACTAGCAGAACAATAAATATATAAAAATTGAATATTTGCCATGAAAAAATTTTATACGTCATACTAATATATCAATAAAAAGCAAATAAATATTTAATTTTACATATAATTTTTTCGATTTCATTCTATTAAAAAATTATAATTAGAAATTCTAATTTATTTTCTAAAATAATCTTTAGTGTTTGCTATATATTTTTTAAAATTTCATTCTA